ATGGTATTTGTACCATTTTGTTCAGAATATAAAGGACTATAACATTCTAAATTTTTATCAAAATCGTTTGGACCATTTTTGGGAAAATCTTATTTTTCCGTTATTTTATGGGGTTTTATGGGAAAATACCCATTAAAAATAAAATTTTTTTAAAAATGAAAAAAACCATCAAAATTGTAAGGACCATAACATACTATGTCAAATATACCCCCGTCGCAGCAAACCTGCATACTAAGTGAATTTCCATTCACCCGGCTTGAATTCTACTAAAATATTCCCTATAAATTTTCAGATTTATTTCCTATTTAAATAACATTAATTTTAGTGAGTAGTTAGGTTTGCTGCTACGGGAAAGATGTTGAGGTGTGTTTTTTCAATTGAAATATTGATAGCTTAGTATGAAATAAGCCAAATTGCCAAATTTGATTGAAATATATCCATAAACAATCAAACTAGAACAGTTTATTTATTCTCCATAAGAATAACATGGGAATTTTAAATTTACAATTTCTTTAATTTTCTCCGTAGTCAATGAACATTCAAAAAAACTTCGATATACTAAATTATTTGTTTTTTTAAGCTCTTCAAAATGGTTTAGAGAGAAATTTAGAAATTTAAAGTTTTTAGGGTCAAAAATGAGAAAAACCCATTTTTACCCCATAAAACCCCCCATAAACCCCTGATCCCATGGTCCGATTATGCTGGTTTGCGAACTCGTTCGAATAAATGTAGGTTTACATGTTTGTACCAAATTTCATCAAAATCGGATCAATTTCGCTCGAGTTATCGCGCTAACGGACACATATATAAATATATATATATATATATAAATATATGTTTTAATTTAGGTGTTCACTTATTAGGGCTGCTGATATATTAAATATTTAAGTAAATAAGTACAACTGAGCACCCCCAAATCATATTTTAAATAGCCAAATTCCTTCAAGAAACCCAATCTTTGACAAAATTTTAAAATTAAATAATCAGTAACAAAAAAGTTTTTCCAAATCCTGTCTAGTTCTATAAACCATCTGTATATATAAATCATATTTATTTACAAACAAACAATATAAACAATGGTTAAGTGTTTAATGTATTTTGAAGTTTGAAAATGGACTAATTAGCCCAGTAACTTAAGTTAAAAATCAAGGCCAACAAAGACATGAAAGATGTAAAGCTGATTTTTTGCATGGTGATAGTGTATGATAGGAAGGGTGTTTTCTGAAAGTTCCCCGAATTTTCCCCCCTTGCTTCCCCTTAAAACCCCCCCTCCCCCAAAACACCAGGTTGAAAGTGTAGTGTTTTACTAAATCACCTATATCTTTTGATGTAAACGAGCTATCAGCAAAATTATTTTTTCTTTGAACTCCCCGTAAAGTTTACTTTAATAAAATAACCTTACATGTAGCATTATCTCTATTGGGTGGGTTTATATCTGTGATATAACAAAAAATATTATTTTTTTTACATAAAATTGTAGATTAGGTCAAACCCTGGTTTTTGCAGTAGGACGTACGTCAATGTGTTTGAAACAAAACTTTTTACCTATTTTATGAGCTTTCCAAAAATGTATAACAATATATATTTTAATTTAAGTTGTTACCGAATGAAGCTATTTAAATCCATGCTTCACTTAGCACATCATTCCAAATTGTTCAGTAAATATTACTAAATGATTACTTTTTATTTATTTATTGTTTACACACCCTGTGTGAATGTTTAACAAGCAAAATAAGAACACTAAATTACAAAAATAGTAAGAAAATAAGTACTCACAAGGATTAAAAATTAAGTAATCGGTAGTTATAAGAAAAGGCAAATATATGCTCAACAGGTTTAATTAGCATACAGTTAAAAAACACTTAAGTAAGGCATAAACAATACAGTACATATCAACTTTCTTTTCCCTCATCATCGTCAGTTCCTTCGTCAATGAAGGGTGGGAGTGAATTTATACAATCAATGCTTTATACAATCATTTATACAATCAATTTAGTTGTACAAAGTTTAAAAAAAAAAAAATTTAGTATTTTCTCACCACTTAAAATTTGTAGATCACTTAGCTTATTACCAATAACTTTTAAATGGAGGGAAAATCTACCAAAGTGGATGTGATATTCTGAAAGAGAATACAATTTACTACAAATAACTACCATGCATTTTTTGAAAATTCTTAATAAAGGCAGGCAAAAGCTGGCTACAAATAGAAACTTGAAAACAGAAACTTGAAAAAAGAAACTTTCACCACAAATATTTGATAAAATCACACTTTCATAATTATTTGCAAATCTACATGAATTAGGCTTTCCAATAACCCATTAACTAACAAAATCGGTCTAGTAGAAGTCTAGATTTAGTTGTACAAAGTTTAACGAAAATATCCCTTACTCAGTATTTTATCATTACTATAAATTCAGAGGTTGCTTAGCCTTTTAGCAAATAACTTTTAAATGGTGAGGAAATCCACTAGAGTGGAAGGTGATATTCTGAAAGAGAATAACATTTCCTACAAATTGGTACCATGCACTTTTTGGAAATACTCAAAATAAGTAGCCAAAAGTCGCACCCAAATAAAACGTGTGAAAAACACAGTTTTCAATATATTTCTTATGGAAAACATTTTTTTTTCACCATAAATCATAACAAAAACAAACTTTCATAATTATTTGCAAATTTACATGAATTAAGCTTTCCAACGACACAATGATTATAAAATCGGTCCAGTAGAACTCTAGATTTAGTTGTACAAATATTTTTAAAACTGAATTTTACAGGGTTAGTAAAAAGTGTGGAGACCCCCTGTTATTTTTTTAACGGCCCATACTAGAAAAAATAAACTGGGCACACCTTTATGGCATGTTATGAAGTACTTTTTGGGCATAACCACCACTTGGTGTACATCCCCAAAATGGGGGATTTTGGGGGAAACTCAAACAACCCTTTAAAAACCACATTTTAAATGTTAAGCCCCATTGAGTGGCCCCTCATTTTGAAGGTCCTGGTCAAAGAAAACTAACAACGCAAACTAGAGGTTTCTATCTCAATCCAGTAAAAAATGGAAGCTGATTGAAATCTTTAGAAATCAGAAATAACTTGCAATTTAATATTAAATTGGCTGCCATATTTTACTGTGTTAAGATAGAGACCTCTAGTTTGCTAGTTTTCTTTTATTATGATCTTCAAAATGAGGGGTCACTCGATGGGGCTTATAATTTAAAGTTTTTGAGTTTCCCCCAAAAATCCCCCATTTTGGGTTTGGTAACCAAGTGGCTATTAGGCTTCAAAAGTACTTCATAACATGCCAAAAAGGTGTGTAGAGTTTGGTTTTCCTAGTGTGAGCTGTTACAAAATTTACAGGGGGTCTCCAGACTTGAAAAGCTGTAAGTTAAATTTAACTTCTGAGAATTTCAATTGGCTGCCATTTTTTACTGGATTGAGGTAGATACCTCTAATTTGCGTTGTTGGCTTTCTTTTACCAGGACCTTCAAAATGAGGGGTCACTCAATGGGGCTTAAAATATTAAATTTTAGAGTTTCCCCCAAAATCCCCCATTTTGGGGATAATCATCAAGTGGCGGTTATTCCCAAAAAGTACTTCATAACATGCCATAAAGGTGTGCCGAGTTTAGTTTTTTTTAGTATGGGCCATTAAAAAAATTTACAGGGGGTCTCCACACTTTTTACTAACCCTGTATATAGAATAGATATTTACTGGACAAGTAGGAATGGTACGCTAAATGCGCTTTGTGGCTGTTTGAAGCATGGATTTAAATGGCTTCATTCGGTAACAATTTAAATATATATTGTTATACATTTTTGGAAAGCTCATCAAACAGGTAAAAAGTGTTGTTACATTGACGTACTACCTACTGCAAAACCGACGTTTGGCTTAATCTACAACTTCACGTTTTAAATAAAATAATATTTATTTTGTATCACATATAAAATCCCACCCAATAGAGATAATGCTACGTGTAAGGTTATTTTATTAAAGTAAATTTAACGGGGAGTTCAAAGAAAAAACAATTATGCTGATAGCTCGTTTACATCAAAAGATATAGGTGATTTAGTTAAACACTACACTTTCAACCTGGTGTTTCGGGGGAGGGGGGGGTTTTAAGGGGAAGCAAGGGGGGGAAATTCAGGGAACTTTCAGAAAACACCTTTCCTATTATATACTATCACCATGCAAAAAATCAGCTTTACATCTTTCATGTCTAGGTTCTTACCTAAAGTGACTGGGCGAAACATGTCTCTTCTTTTTATAAAATATAATATTCAGGGTGCTCAGTTGTACTTATTTACTTAAATATTTGATATAAATATATATATATATATGAATTTGAATGGATGGTGTTTTTGGCCTCTGGGGACCTCAAAACGAAAAAGTAAATCGGTCCCGGGTCTAGGTCTTACCATGAGACCTACGGTAATAGCTTATTCCCTATATGGGAAATTCGCTAAAAAACCGGATTTTTGTCTAAAATCCTATTTTTTGTTATTTTATGGGGTTTTATGGGAAAATAACATAATTTACCATAACTTTTGAACCGTAATTTTTACAGAAATGGGATTTGTGCCATTTTGTTCAGAATTTAAAGGGCTACAACATACTAAATTTTTATCAAAATCGTTCGGGCCATTTTTGAGAAAATCCGATTTTTCCAGTTTTTTATGGGAAAATCCTCATTAAAAATCAAAATTTCAAAAAAATGAAAAAAACGCCTGGAGATACCATGGATTAGAACCTACATACTAAATTTCATCGAAATCGGACCACAGGTGTAGTCACTAGCTCTGTACACATCCAGACACACAGACACACACACACACAGACATCACTTCGAAAACCACTTTTTTGGGTCCAGGGGGACCCAAAACGAATATATCCACTCAAAACTCAAACTCGAAAATTTTGACGAAAACAATACTTTCTCCATATACTATGGTATAGGGGGAGAAAGTAATAAATACATTTTAAAAGAAAAATGAATAAACACATAACAATATATACAATTTAATGCAAACTGTAAAATAAAATACAGTGGGCTGTTTATCTTCTGTCGGTTTTCCCAAGCTTGCGTTTACCAGAGTAAAGATGCTTGGGCATTTTATTTCCAATAAATCTATCAGCTTCTCCTTTGAGTCCTTTCTTTCCCACTTTCTTGGAGATGGCTTTATGAGCAACTTTCTTCAACTTGCTCCTTACCTGTAAGTATACAAAAATTAAAATGAAATATCATACATTTCTAACATTATTTATTCAAAATTGGTGAGAGCATTACGATGTCAACATTGCGATTCCATTCCATGTGAACATTGTTAACATTTCACCCTGTGATTCACGGACGATCCCAAGTAAGTTACGTAAATTTATCAAGCTCTGGCTGATTTTACCGAGCCCTTTTTGTAAATAACAACATTTTTGTCCACAAATACACTAGAAGCCAGCTGCTTTAGGTCTACTGTATATTGTAAACAATATTGCAGCATACCTTAGATAAATGTGGTACATTACAGACCCAGATTATCTTGATTTACTGATCTGAAAAACTAGCATCTGAAATGTTTATCACTGCTAAATGCATAACAGTTAGGTAGTAAATAGTTTTGAGGTTTCAAACACAAAAACTCAGGCTGATATAATATTGATGTACTTAAAAAATACAGTAGGTACTCCTGTAATAAATACAAACTACAAACGTTAATTGAATAAAGTGAAAATAAAAGAGAAAATAAAAAGCTACTAATATACCAGCCAATCACCTTTTTTTTGCTACATAGGATAACTTACATCTCAACAAAACCTTGTGTTTTAGTTTTATATAAAAGAAAAGTAAATGCTATTAGTAAATTATGAACACAGTATCATGAATTGGACCTTTGTCTTTACACATGGGATCAACATTATTATAGTTATTTGTGGCTCTGTTAGTTCAGCATTATTCCACTTACACTTGGCACACACATAGGTCTAATGTACATAGGTCAGCTGAGAAACATTCTGGAGAGAGAGAGAGAGAGAGAGACACTCATGGGAAAAATTTGTCTTTGCTAAATCCTAGTTTAAATAGGATTCGCTATACACAGCCAAGTCCGGATACCACACATTTTTTGCATAAACTTTTTTTTACATTTTTTAAAACTGCATTCCTTGAGTAGGTCTGACATTGTTAGTGCTAACTCATTCCTCATATTTAAGTGCCATTACCGCAGGATCCTTGACTCCTGATTGGTCCCTTGGCGGCCGAGACATGCTCCTGGCCCTCGGCTCGGACTCCATCCTCATCCTCTTGACAGGAGGTCGAGACAGAGACTTAGATCTGCCTCTTGTCCTCTTGAAGTGAGCCTGCAAATATCAGACAACATCAGCACATAACAGATCACTCATTCTCTCAGCATTATATATCGGAATCGGTTAAACCAGAGTAACAGAATGAGGACGATGAAAAAGTAAATGACAAGAAGGCAAAATTGTAATATTGAACTGTTTGGCTAACACCAACCTTACCTTAAGTACATAAAAATTCCCCAATTAATTATTAGTTGCTAGACCAGTTTTGCAAAGCAATGCTTTTAACTATTGTGGCAAGATTTAAATCTAGAGGAGCCTTGCTTACAACAATCAATGTGCAATGTTAGTAAGAAGCAAAACTCAAAGATAGTTACATCATTGAAATTGTAGCTTTAACCACTTTTACTGATGTTTACGAGGAAATAATACAATGTGACCTAAAAGTTCTACTGTCTCTAAAGAGGCCAAGACAACCCTCTTCTAACCTAATTCCTTGAAAAAATCCAATATCACAAATAACATAATTTGATGGAGTTCACTTGCCATTGCCCTACAACATTGTTGTTTGTTTACCTCTTCGTTGTCTTCAACATCAACGCCCAGTTGTGACATCTGCTCTCTCAATCTTCCCACACTCCTTTCTCGGACTTTAGCTGTTGATGTCCTTGGAGTCACCGGCTTGGTTGAGTTCTTCACCAACCTCGCTTCTTGCTTCATGATCACCTTCTTGTCTCTGATCTTTTGTGCGAGTTCTCGGATTTCTTTCATAGTTTCATCAAGCTCTATCTTGGGCACAGCATACATTCCCGCCTCTTCTCGCAAAGCTTCTTCTTGTTCTAACTCAGCAAGTTTCTAAAAAAGAACGTAAGGTCAAGTTGGTTACACATTAGGTTTACATTAGTAAGAATTAATAATAATTTACTAATTTTATCTAGTGATGGGTCGGTACTTAACGTTAAATGTCGGTTCTACTGGTTCTTGGGAAAAGTAGTGGGACCGAGAATCGATGGTGAAATGTCGGTACCGATAATACCTTCGGTAACAAGTGAATTGGTTGTATTTTTTATTAACTCTTTACAAAATTCAAATAAATAACTTTTATCACGATTGTACATGTTATTAAATTTACAGAAAGTAAATAAAAGAAGTGTCTTATAAGACTTAAAAACATATATTTACGCTTATACTGTTACTCACAAGCCGGTAAACATACAAAATACCCCCGCCGCAGCAAACCTGCAGACCAAGCGAACTTCAACTTGTCTGATTACATTTTTGCTAAAATATTTCCATAAATAAGATTAATTTATTCCAAATTTAAATAACATTAGATTTCACGAGTGCTTAGGTTTTCTGCTAGGGGGAAGGTAAAAAGTGTTTTTTGACCTTACGTCAATAGTATAGGATGAAATAAATAAATTTGCCAAATTTTATCAATATATATCCATAAACAAGTAAACTACAACAGTTTTCATTTTCTCCATGATAAAATTACATAATAAATAAAAAAATACATAAAACCCCGTTCCCATGGTCCGATTACGCTGGTTTGCGAACTCGTTCAAAGAAACGTAGGTTTACACGTTTGTACCAAATTTCATTAAAATCGGATCATTTTTGCTCGAGTTATCGCGCTAACGGACACATATATATATGAATTTGAACGGATGATATTTGTGGCCTCTGGGGACCTCCAAACGAAAGATGAAATCGGTCTCGGGTCCAGGTCTTACCATGAGTACTACGGTAATAGCTTATTCCCTATATGGGAAATTCGCTAAAAGATGGTAGGCCTAAGTGGTGATCGATTTCGATTGGACACTCCAATCATCATCAGACCCAATAGGCGAATGACAAGAATCTTGAATGGCATCCCTACTTATATCTTATTAGCTACCAGAAGCACTGGCCAATACATTTTTACAAGTACAACTGGAGTCGAAATTTACTTGTTCATTAATCAGCTTAATTAAATTTTTAAATTTTTCCGTATAAATATAAAATTCTTCCCAAGCATTCATTACATAATTCTTTCTTAAAATACATAGACTATACTCCATTTTTTCTATTGAGTGGCCATTTAGTAACAGGTAATGTGTGACATGTTACAAGGGTTGCCACCTATCCCGATTCTGTCGAGACAGTCCCGGCTTCGGAACCTTGTGCCCTTGATTATACCTGTGTTAATTTGGGGGAGGGGGGCAGGTCCCGATTTTCCCCTAACCAAAGGTGGCAACCCTGGCTCTACCTAGAAATCAAACCAAATTAATTAGAAAATAAACTCTTTCGAAAGTAGAAAATATGACAAAAGAAAAGACTGAATGAAATTTCAGACTGGTAAAATCTGCAATGTATAAAGTAAATAGCAAATCAACTGTTAAATACTTACAAGTCATAATCTACAAATCTCTTCTCATATTCTAAAATTTTTTTTTAAATTTGAAATTTGTTTGCTAGTTTTTTTAAATTATTATGGTAAATAATATGAAGTCGGCCAAATAGTTTTTTTTATTACGTAGGAATAATAGTTTATATCTGACCTTAAAAATGTCTGGATCAATATAATCAGCGATGTTATGTCCCTCCCATATCTCAGGGATGATATCATATTTGTAATCTTCAGGGATGTCGTAGTTCTTTTTTAGATCCAACACATAATCATCACCCAGTTCCACCTCTATATCTCGCTCCAGCTTGCGTTTTCTACTCTTTTCCGCCTGCTGTTGCTTTTTGATGATCACATTTTCTGAAATAAATGCAATATTTAAAAGATGACACAGATGCATTGTGCAAATGTTTATGGCCGTCTACAGCCTCTATAATACACATTTATTTTTATATTTTTTTTTTATATTAAGACACTAAAGATTAAGAGAGAGAGGGATCAGCTTGTGTCATCTAGAGACTTCCATTACAACCTTGTCAGCCAATTCAGAAACTTGCCGCTGCAACCTAGTTCAGCAACTAATTTGGTGAATTTTGTCAAATCCTGAAAACAATCAAAAGTGGCACTTCACCCACAAATAATTTCTTACGATTGTAATCTCTATTTTCTTTATCCCTCAATATTTAAGCATAAAGGAACAAACTAAATCAACGCTGGAAATTGGCCAGATATCTAAAAGTCTACGTACATGTATAAAGTGTTCAAGTAAGTATTCAACGGTAATTTTAATTTTCTCACCGATGACAATTGATATTTGAAGTACGTTTAGATTAGGAAAATTGTGAAGTGCTGTGGATTATTACAGCTTTCATCAGACCAAGAACAACGGCATGCAAGTATATTCACCTGGAATACATGGAGGCCTGTCCTTGTCGTCGCGTTGTTTGGGGAAAGCCACTCGTAATCTGTTCAACACAGGGTCTAACTTCTTGCCAGCGGCTTTACTCTCCACTCTAAAAGCCAGCAATGTTTCGCATGCCTAAAAAGTAATTACAATTAATTAATTAAATCATTATAGAAATTTAAAAAATCCAATTTACTAAAAAATACAAGAATAAATCAAAAGACTACTCAATACACATATGTGAATGGCGCAAAATAGTTCCATTAGAAATTCAATCAGCTATTTTATTTTATTTCAGAAACAATAACAGATTGTACAACCTCATGTTTTGCTGCACAATGTTACTGATCATTGTGAAAAGTTCCGGTTGACCATTCAGGCATTTCTCAGCATTAAATCTAAGTCCTTATACTGTGTGCCATGTCCCCTCATGTAAATAATTTTATGACATCAAAATATAATATTTAAGCCAGTGGATATGAATATGGCTTGACAGAAGCCAAATCAGACCATCAGGCTTTGTAATACAACCGTCAAGCCTAATACTTAAGAAAATATCTAATCTTATAACATTCATATTCTCTTACAAATAGTTAATGTCTTAGCCAATTCAATCTACAAAGTAATCTATAAATTAACTGCAAAGGAGGAGTTAGAGCTGTGCTGTGACAGAAACTTTGGTATGAATAGTTTAGCGTTAGTTCACCTGCTCCTTGACTTCAGCCACTCCAACCTCTGTGAGCGTGCTCATCTGCATCACAGGAACACTGCTCTCCTCAAACACTTTCATCAGCTCTTTCTTTTCTTCTGGCAGTTCTTCCACTTTCACAATGTCTGTTTTGTTGCACACCACTATGAGAGGCTGAAAAAACCACAATACATTCTACTAACTCTGTATGATTGTTTTTATTTAACCCATGGGTGCCGACTTACGAGCGTTACTCGTACGGCCGCTGCAGGCCCGGCGGCTGACTTACGAGTTCAAATTGAACGAGTTCTCACCGCTACGCAGCGCCACTAGTAATTTAATTATTATTATTATCCCCCCTTTTTTTCTTCTTACTTTTATTATGTTTATAAATATCTTGGTTCTTGTTTTGCGTATTTACTCATTTATTTTTGTGAATCACAAACAATGTTCTGTTGCAATGGAAACCAGATAGGCTTATCACCAAAAATCAGCTGCGGTGAGGTAAACAAAAATTTTTTTTATGTTATTAGGCTACTTATAAAAGTACACAACTTGTGATTTTCTACGTAGGGAATCAATTGAACTTTATAATTGTAGTGTTATTTGGTATCTGGATTAATCTGGGAATTTGTAAATAAAGTTTACTTTCAAAAAAAAATTTTTTTATTTTTATAATCTTTATAATTTTATTTATTTTTGTTTTACACTTTGACTATCCAATACCACTTTCTTTTTGTAGACAATTTTAATGTGAACAAAATGACAAAAAAATTATTAATTTATTACCGTACCTAGGGTTTTCTTTCTATAACAATTAGAGTAAAAGTCTACAAATTCGGTAAAATTAATTGCCAACAGAGGGTGCTGCAAGCAGCACAATAATTCCTTCCCCAATGGGTTAAGGTAATGTTTCTTTTTAATCAACCACTGTGTGTGGGAGGATTCACTTGCTCCTGAAAAAACAGGAAAACCCAAGTTAAGAAGGAAGTAGTTGTGTTTATTTATAAATATGTTTAGCGGCTAAAGCCTTTCATCTTGAAGTGATACAAGATCTCTTGACAGATGCCTTTCTCACTGCATTCGATCGATTCATCGCACAAAGAGGTATACATTAGGTTGCATTAATGTATACTCTGATAAGAGGCAGTAATTTTGTAGGAGCTAAAAAGGTGATCCATACAAAATTTTTAGTGTTTCTGAGTTTTGTGGAGTTTGGCAAAAAAGTCAACTAAGTAACAAAGGAATGATTTGGCATTTGAATCCACCCTTAGCATATCACTTTGGTGGAATCTGGGTTGCTGGAATTAAAGCGGAAAAATCCCGCCTCCATCATATCATTGGAGACCTAACATTTGAAGAGCTTTCAACCATCTTCACTGAAATTGAAGCTTTCCTTCGTCCATTCTCTTTCAACAGATCCTTCAGAAATAGATGTTCTCACTTCCAGGCCATTCTCTCATTGGACAATATATAGTAAGTATGTATACAGCAAGAAAAAGTCACTGCTTTACCTTTAAATCTATAATCAAGATGGTAACTGATAAATCCAGTGCGGCAAAAATTTTGAAAAAGATGGTCGTTTGAATACGCTCAAAACAAATGGACCAAATGCACTCCAAATATTCAAGAAGGTGGTGTGGTGACCATTAAATAAGAAAACCTACCACCACCATGGAAAATGGCCAGAGTTAAACAATTAGTTGCTACCTGGTGTAGATGGAATTGTCCGAGTAGCAAGATTACAAACCAGTTAAGGAGAAGTCATCCAACCTGTAATTAAATTATTTCTTCTACAAACAAATTGAATTAGCAGATAAAACAACTATTTTTTAGCGGAAGGTGTGTTTGATATATTCTGCTATCATTGCTTGTTTCTTCTATGTTGAAATTTTCATTTGTAAATTATTACAGTAGAACCTTGATAACAATACTCATGGGGATTATAAAATTTGTCTGGTTATAAAGGTTGACTTCTTATTGAGGTTTGCAATAACATGTGTTTAGAGGTAAAATAAATTCAAGGTGATTTGAAAAATTCACTTGTTATCAAGTGACTTGTTATCGAAGGTCTTCTTATCAAGGTTCCACTGTATTATTTTAACATCTGTTTTGATCAGTTTCTATGTTGTTATGGATTTACTATACAGTTCATTAAGCTCATTCTAATTTTCCAAGATTTTGTATAATATTTTTATTCAACACAACACATTATCCATACCTTGGCAGACAATTCCTGTTGCAAAGCTCATTTTACAATTGATTTACAGTTTTTATATAATTTTGGTAACACAGGGTGTGATCAATTTGTTTGGAAGTTTTTTTCTTTCGATTACTCCGACTTTTTAACCAAGTCAAACTTACAGAACAACCATGGGCAGATCCCCATAGATTGCCCCAGATACACTTATGTTTACAATTTTACCCTTGGAGAATTCCATGAAATTATTTTAAAGCAGTCCCACCCCTTTCCAACCGACTGGAGGAAAACCTATCGTACATAGCATATTAGATCGCATCAACTTTCTCAATAACAAAAACTAAGGCAGAAAACAAAATTGAAATACCCCCGCCGCAGCAAACCTGCAGACTTAGCGAATTTCCATTTGCCTGATTGGATCTAAACTAAAATGTCTCCTTAAAAATATCACATTTATTCCCTATTTAAACAGAATTAGTTTAATGAGTACTTAGGTTTGCTGCAACAGGGAGGGTAAAAAAGTTTTTTTTTTATGTAGAATATTAAAAGGTACTGTGGTTTAGTAAGAAATTAATGTATTTTCCAACTTTTATCAAAATATGTTCATAAACAAGCAAACTACAACAGTTGTCTTATTCTCCATAAGAATAACATGGGAAATTTAAAATTACAACTTTAATGAATTTTCTCCGTAACAATTAGGCGCATAATAATGCTTCAATATACTAAATTATTTGTTTTTTAAGCTTTACAAAATGGTTTAAAAAGAAATTTTGAAATTTTGTTTTTTTAGGGTCAAAAATGGGAAAACCCTATTTTTACCCCATAAAACCCCCCATAAACCCCCGTTCCCATAGTCCGATCATGCTGGTTCGCGAACTCATTCTAGTTTATCCCGCCTTACACCTTCAAACCAAATTTTATCAAAATCGGACAAAAATTACTCAAGTTATCGTGCGGATGGACACATATATATATATATATATATATCTCTATATATAGATATATAAAAATTTGAACGAATGGTGTTTTTGGCCTCTGGGAACATCAAAATGAAAAAGTAAATCGGTCCCGGGCTTAGGTCTTACCATGAGACCTACGGTAATAGCTACTTCCCTATAGGGAAATTCGCTAAAATGTTTCACACTCTATGTAAGGCTCACTGAACTAGGACGACGTTATTTTATATTTTTACAAACAGGCTAAAGCTGGTCTATATAGATGAGATGCCCACTTTAGTTTCCAAAAGTAAGTATTAACACACCTTATTTGTGAACAGTGGTTTGATGCTGTTGAACAGAGAGACCTGCTCGGCTAGAGTGTGGCCACACTGCTCAGACACGTCTACAAAGTACAACACAGCTGCTCGCAAGTGAGCCAGAGCAGTCACTGCCTGCATCTCTATCACATTACGCTCCTCCAGCGGGTGGTCCAGTATACCTGCAGCAATCACAATACACTTAAAATTAATTAATAATACTTTAGTCTACAGCTTGAAATTATGAGTAAATTAACTTAAACAATATTGCCTAACAAACATAGAAGTTATGAATAATTTCAAATCATATTTTGAACTATACTATGTCATGCCACAATAATTTCGTGTTTAGACTAATTTTTCATGGAATTAAACAACAAATTTAGTGACACAGGAGACAACAGGTAATTTAAAATAAACAAACCTGGAGTGTCGATGACTTGCCACCGCAGATACTTGTAGTCTGTGTGTCCTACGTAGAGTGATTTGGTTGTGAAAGCGTACGGTTGCACTTCCACGTCCGCACGAGTGATCTGTTAAACATTATCATCAAACAATCACCTGTTTGTTTAGTAATAGACACATGCAAATACACTTTGCACTTTAATAGTTATGATTAAAAAAATTAACTTAATTGATTCTATATTATTATTGTTAACAATTGAGTGAGATGGGGATACCAACTAGGTGTGTGTTTTAACTCAATTATAAGTTAAATGAAAGCTGAGCCTGTTCACTTTTCTCAGGACTGGCGACCTTTTGACCAGGTGAGCACAATTACCACTCACCGACCTAGCTATTTATTTATATATAATAAGGATCATTAAAAAACCAACTTGGGTTTTTTAAAGATTTACTGAAAATTACCTCTAAGCATTTAAGCTGTTAGTAGTATTTTATGCCTTACAACAATAAATATAACATCCCATAAACATTCCCTTATTATTGTATGCCCATATTTGCCCTTTTCCTAGTACTTTTTTTCATAAATATTATTAGTTATAAAACAATAAACAGGGCACTGTAAACAGACCTTAGCAAATATAACAATATTTTAAAATATAATATATAAAATATGACCAACAAAGTAAAAGCAAAGATATAATTAAGCTTTTGAAATAGATCGATGCTTAGTTCTTTTATTAGGTAACTAGTGTACATGTTACACCAAGAAACCAAGACCTGCACCACTACAACACCCGTCATGGCTCCAAATTTGCACTACCAGTTCACCGAACAACTCTTTGGGAGAAAAAACCTTCTTACACCGGCTGCAAGCTGAGGAACCATCTACCTGACTACCTGAGAGACCTGACTGGCAACAAGCTACACCAGGAGTTGAAGAAGTGGCTAATTGCAAGACCCTTCTACTCAATAAAGGAATTTTATGAAAATTATGGAAATTAACATGTACAATTCACTATTGTATTGACACTATTGTAATTCTTAACAAATTAACAATAAAGAATATTGTATGATGCTTGAATTCGAGCAATTGCAAAGTATTACAGGAGTCAAAACGAATAATGGTCATATTTACAATGAGTTTAAAAGAGTCAACTTTAATACTTTTTTTTAAAGATTACCGGTGTGTAACTGATGGAGATACTCACGATGTATATAACACTAATCAACATTTCCTGTAAATATTGTATTTCATAGTCTGGTATTGCTTTTTAATGTTTTCTACAAATTTTTCCTGACTTATAGCCATATAAGGTTGTCCATTTTTATCATCGTTATTGATAAACCTAAATCATTCCGGCCGGTTTTCTCCATCTCAAAATGCTTCGCTGTACAGGCAATACATGTCAATAATAGAGGGCCAATTGAGAACGAAAATTTCGTTTTCATTTTGGGGTAGTGTTTGGACGCATTTGTAACCTAATAGTTGAGATTGTCCAGGGTCAGGTGCTGAGTGCTGACTACGCGCCACTGTTCTGTAGCTGCGGTCGTTATCACGATTACGCCTCCTGTCTATGTTTCGTTGTCGTCGCGTCGGAGGCATTTAAAAGAAAAAACAACAAATAAACAAAATACAGCCACACAAAACAACGATAAATGCACAAATTTAAGTTACAATCATGCTAACACGATCCGTCATAGCGACACAAAACAACGATAAATTAACACGATCCGTCTTGGGGGTTATGTTTACACAAACTCAAATAGCCTAGTAAATAAATGTTCTCAATGAGTTTCATTGAATCGAAAAATAAATAACAGCAATTAAATTATACAGCTGATCGAAATGTAAACAATTATGTTCTTCATAAGGATAACATGGGAACTTTCAAAGCCACTGGGGCAAAGCCCAAGGGACTTTTTCAAAAATGTAAGACCAGTTTGCCAATCTACGCGACACGCTCTTTCCAATGAGACGTCAATGGATAAAATCGGTTAAGAAATGGCGGAGGAGTTCAACCGACAAAGTTTCATGTAGCGTATTAATTATATAGATGTGTTTTTTATCCTCCCTATATTAACAACAGCTGATCTTTGTTAAATAAGTCATTATATTGTACAAACAAACATGCTTCCTTTCTGGTCCTTCTTGTTACAATGGCTTAACTCAATTTCTCTCTTCATTTTTCATTTATAACACACAAACACTCAACAATCAATATATTAATATAAAAACATTTAGATCATTTTATTTTCTTTATGTATGATAAACACATCATCTGTGAACAGCTGATCTCTGAAATGGGATTCAAACTAACAAAATGAATATTGAGGTCACACTGCTTAGTGTCAACAACCACCCATAATGTTACTTTACACTTTTTGCAATACATTCAACTGCATTGTTGGTGTGCAATAAGCTAGGCCAACTTTCAACTTCTATCCTACTACCTTGTTGATGAAGCTGGATTTTCCGACGTTGGGAAATCCGCAGATAATAATGGTCCTAGTGTACGGATCAATGGATGGAAGACGAGCGAGATGTTGGCGCACCTGTTCCAGATACTCTAGATTAGATGCTTGTCGCTTCATTATTGTTGCCATCCTGGAGATTAAGAATAATTAGAAATAATTATTCGGAATTTTATTAATATAGGCCTACATATGTGTTCATTTATGCAATTGTAAAACGTCAGTCAAATATTTTGTCATATTTACTGCAAATATGGTAGGGAATTCTTTGATATGTCATAGTTCAGAGTTTGTGGCTTTAAAATCTTAAGAATCAAACTCTGGCTTTTTAGGCTTTCCATTTTAATTTTTTTTTTTTTTGAGAAGGCTTAAACATTTATTAATAGCAAACAAATTTTTAAAAAATCAAGCGAAACAAAATCAAAAGTGGCAAATATTGTAACAAGTTTTCAATATTTTGGACATAAACCTATATATATATATATATATACCGTTAGTTTGGATGTATCAAATCAAGGTAAATTGAATTGAGACATACAAATTCTGGTCCGGCAGAATATACTAATAAATAGCTTTACCAAAATTAAGGTAAAAATGTGTAATTTTTCTTTTTTATGGACACCATTCACTATTAACCACCAATATAACTTTAGGCCTACATGACCTTAAAACTTTACATGTCCACGGGGCATAGCTCGAAGGAGTTTAAAAGACACAAACCCTATTAATAAAAGAATTTTCATAAATTCCTGGGACATATTACCGTACTGTAGGAGAATTTTTTGTTCAACTAATTCAAAAATATAAAATTGGTTAAACAAAAATTTACAACGCTAAAATATGTCTGGATGCTCTAACATGTTTTCCTCTGTTTACAAAATCAGTAAAGGAGCTTTAATTTCATTTGTCATCAACTAATAAATCAGTACATTTTCACATTGTTAATTTGTTTAGTCGAGTTTAAAAAGCAGCCTACCTAACAAAAAATTGTTATAACAGTGAGTAGAAAATAGAAATTGTATTGTTAGTTAATTTAGTTACTGTTAGATTACCAATAAAAAGGTTGATTGAGTTGACCTTCTTAGACTATTTCACATTGTAACTAGCTACACCCATTTAATACTGTACTACACAGGAAACTCAATGATTTCCTCTAAATTGCATAAGTGAAACAGTTTAGTAGTATGCAATACATTTTAAGTCAACGAAAATGATCCATCGTAATGCATATATACCAGAAAAACTTGGTTATAGCTCCACGGCTAGCCTACATGCCAAACTCATTTTAGGTGTGTTATGGGTCATTAGTTTACCACCAGTGGTGGGGGGAGACCACTGAGCGCCAGCTTGTTTTTCAACGCTGCGTTCTCGTGCCGGTTTGCGATACAGTTAGACTATCTACCATAAAAGAACTAGACCCTTCTCTGAATCAAATAAACGATCTTAAAAGACAATTAATACAATATATTAATTTTAATTAATACAAAATATAAAAGAACCAGAGAACTAAGTACCGGTACAGTATATTACCTTCCAAGTGCAGCTCTTTTCAACTGCTTACACCGATAGAGAGAATCTCCAAACTTCAGAAGTCGAAGGTACTCCTTTGCGACACTAAAATAATAAAAAAATTAGTTTTATTATTTCACTATAGCAGTTGTAGGCCATCTTTATCATATCTTACTAATACTATAAATACAATAATTTTGATGTTTGTGAGTACAGTAGTATGTCAACACTCCTGGAATATGAAATTTTGCAGGAATAGGCTTACAGCCAAAATACCACAGATAAACATAGGCTCATTATTATTTTGAAACTATTAGTACTCCACCCACTGGCTTCCAAAGTGGCCGTGTTATTCTTATGAATTAATATTTGACTAAGCATTTTGGTTTAAAATCTGTTACTAGACCTAAATAATTTTGTCAGATGTTTAAAAAGATTTGTGTAATTTTATATGGTGTGAAGTTTTAATAATGAACACAGGTAAAGAGGCGTGAATAATGTGGAAGAATAGAATGAGGGTAAACATGTTTTTAGCTTATTTTGTAAGATTCTTTTGAATATAGCGACTAAAAATGTAAGAAGGGGTTTAAAAGAAAGTAGGTACACTTTAAAGTAAGATTCAGTAGTAGAACCTCGATAGTTTAACACTATGTGGAATAAGGGTGTGTCAAACTACTGAAATGTCAAACTATAGGGAATATATTGGAAATTTACACACAGAGAGTAAGTTCCTATATATAAACATAAAACAAACAAATTTAAGGAACAACATAAATAAAACTTGACAAAAATAAACAAACTACATCTCTTTTGTACATTCTCCTTCTTACTGTGAAGAAGTTTGTTATATTCAACTTCACTTTGGATTAAAAATGAAAATTTATGGGATATAGGTGGTAGGTAAGTTAAAAGTAGCCTATTGAGTTTTTTCATTCCCGAGAACAAATGCTCTATAGTTTTTAATAGTGATGGGCGGATCCAAGAAAATGTCGGTACCGGATCCGGATCTTGAAAAAATCGGATCCGGAATATCGGTACCGGATCCGGATCTTGAAAAAATCAGATACGGATACATATACGTTTTTTTCTTTTTTCAAGGGCGGGTTTTTTAAATAAAATAATTCGATCTTAATTTTGAGGAAGTACGAAAGAGACAAACTACCACCTATCGCGTTGTCTCTCTAACAAAACAAAATCACTACTGATCATGTCATTCTGTGTCAAGTCAGTATACCATTGCCAGTCAGTCGCCGGCGACTGCTTTGAGTTGACCTATTCTGTCGTGACAGCTATAAAAATAGGTTAGGACAACTAACTCTTGCTTATTTCTATATTTGTATTACTGTAGAATCTACAGTAATACAAATTATCCATCATTTTATGTAAACACAAGTTACATTTTAACAAATATTGAGCTTTTACAATTTTAAACCAAACTGACGAGTTCAAAGATAAGCTTGAGTTTCAAGGCCGTACTCTACTCGAACTCGAAATCTCGCCTGTTTTGAGTTAATAGTACCGTATAAACAAATCTGATCCATTAAAACCGGATCCAGCCCAAGATCCGATTTTTTGTGGATCCGACCAGGCGTCGGTTCTAGCTCAGATCCAGGCGGGTCCGGTAGTCCGATATCCGGATCCGACCATCACTAGTTTTTAATCTTGGACGAACCAGTTATCAGCCTCTACCGACGTGTTATGTCATCAAGGTCTGTGTCAAACTATAGGGAGTATCAAACTCTCAATCTAGAAGAAGACTATCAAGATTAATCAGCGCCACATATACACCATGCCATGTTACACAGGCATTTATACCTCTAACTTGAATTACAATAAAAATATTTGTATCCAACTAAGTAGTTAAATTATTAAGTTTTGTCTCTAAAATGAGTTATGTGTAACAACTTCACACTTAAGTCGTATTGAGTTATTTCATAAAACTACCCCCCTTTTGATTGAGAAAGGTGTTGAGATACGCTAAGTTAATTTTAATTTGTAAAACATGATTAGAGTTATAGTTACAGTTGGTAGAACCTCCACCAACAACATGTTACATAAAACAGGTAACCAATTTTTTTTTCATCAATAATTTGTTCAATAAGGGACTGCTATTAATATATAGGTGAAGATTTAATTTCTTAGGCTGCTTTAGGATTGCAAAATAATGGCCTAATTGAATTAACCCAATTATGCTGTACAACATGAAAGCTGCTTGCTAGTGCTAAACATAGAATGAAACTCACTTGTCAATGAGATGGCGGGCTTGATTCAACTGTCCAAGAGCTAACTTGTAGTGGTCCTTGTCATAGAGAACGTTCATCAAATCCGCATAGAATGGATGTATATTCTGTAAAATACAAAAATTGAGTTAGGCGTAGTCAAAATGATTTAAGACTTTAAACAACAGTAGCTAAATAAAAAATAGGCTTTACCTTTGTCAACAACCAACAGTTGTGATTTACGTTAAATCTTGTTTGCAGAAATAACCTAACTCAACTGGCATCTTTTTAAAAGGTTTCTTTGATAACTCAGATATAGAACAACAACTCAGATACATCATACATGAAGACAAAATGTAAAATTTTTAGCAAGGAGTTATTTTGGATAAATCTTAATCCGTAACAACTCATGTAGCCTCATATAGCCTACTGAGGTACAGTACAAATAAATTATGTATGTATAATCATAATATTAGGTAATGTTCACTTTTTAGGCTACTGTAATTAATATTTATAGAAATAATAAACCATAATACCCTAGTTTTTTTCCCATTTTACATAGTACCTATTTTTAAAGTATATTTTAAATAAAATCCCTTTATAAAGGGTAGGCCTAACGTACTGTTGTTTATATAATTTCTATATAAATATATAGGTATCTGATTAGTTAAACATTAGTAAAATCACAATGTGTAAAACAATATAACCAACTTAAAAACTTCAGAGTTACAAAATAATTAAATTTTCAACTAGAGTTTAGAGTGATAGGCCTGATAGGCTACTTACGTCTAGCTTTGGAAAATCTTGGATGATTAGTGATAGCCGGTCGTGGAAGTTTTGCTGAGTAAATTTGATTTTTCGCATATAAAATGAACGAATCCGTGAAATCTTGTAGTTCTTGTGGATGACTGTTGGTGTTTTTCTCTGCGTTTTTGAGAGTGTGATATTGATGAAGTCCTGAAATACAAGGAAAAATAATTGATAAGAATACATAGGTTACGACCATATCAATAATTTATAACAGTAGAAATAAGCTTTACTGGTAAGCAGAAAAAACTCCCACGCTTGACTTTGCCCCGTGGCAAGCCTAGCACTTTTAGGATGAAATAAGATAGCCTAAGTAGCCTAAATAACTCAACATTTTTCGGAAAGTTACAAAAAATTCTAGAATTGAAAGGGTTAAACCATCATCTTTCTGCAATCATTTTAAGTGGACTTAAGAGTAAAAATAAGTAATCTGGATAACACCTCAATTTAAGAGAACACTAATAACAATGTGAATACATCGTAACAGAGGAAAACAATACAGATAGACATGCATAGGCCCAGTCGTGACAAAAAGGCAGTAACTACATCTGCTTTTAAGAATTTAGTTTACCTTTGATGTAGGAACAACAGCTATTTTCTTGAAGTTGTAGAGAGGCATTTTGATTTCAGGCTTCAAACTGATAAAGATTAAATATATATCACCAGTTAATAAACCTAAATTATGAAAGGACTCAGTGACAAGCCCTCAACTTGAACTTGATCGTTCAATGTTGATTGATCCTGTAGACCTGTACACGTTCACGTTGTTAAAGGAAGGGAGAATTTTGAGGTTAGGTAAAAAAAATAACTATTGAGAATGAGAATGCAGTGTTGCCATGGTACCCATGACCAGTAGTACCGTTAAATTCCCTCCATTCAAATTGTATCCCATGTAAGAGGATGGTCTTCAAAAGTTCCAAAATCGGAAGATCCAAAGAATATATTGCCGATCGGAAGTTCCAAAATCGAAAGATCCAACGTTTATATTGCCGATCGGATCTTCCAAAATTGGAATTTCCAAAGGTTATTTAGCGGGTCGGAAGATCCAAAATCAAAAGATCCAAAGAAAATATTGCCGATCGGAAGTTCCAAAATCGTAAGATCCAAAAGTACAGTCATAACTAGAAGTACAAATTTATTTCTTAAAGTAAACTTATGAAATAGGCTGTCCTTTTCACTTTGGATCTTGCGATCGTATGTCGGGTCGGAATTTCCAAAACGCTACTAGTCAGATCGGAACATCCAAAATGCTAGAACTGTTGCGTCTCTAAGATTGAAGGCGATGAACGCCGTAACCAGCCGCGTTGCTAATGTCAGGGCAAGTTTAGACACTCGAGTTTAGATCTGTATAGAAAAGTAACCAAACTACCGGTACTTATTTGGTGTGTGTATTTTTTGTCCAAAAACCATTTCAACATCATATTTAAGACGTATATTCAGACAATGTTTAAAAACAACATTTTAATTCGCTGTATGTTAGATAAATATTGTCACATAAATTAGCCATTAAGTATAACGGAGTTTTTAATTAATTTTAGTTTTGTTCTAATTTATATCACGTAAAGGCAATTACTAAAATACTGTTTGTATTTTATCAATGGAGTATCAAAATGCCCTTTGAAGCACTCTTTGTATAGTTTTACAATTCTCTTAGCGTATGTATTGGCCTTAAATATATGCTATGATATTTTTTTTTACATCTCCTTTTTTAAATTTAACCATCATGACAACAATATTATCAAACATAGATGGAATGAAATACTCCTAATAGAAGAGTTAATCTTCTGAGAATACTCTCAGTAGGCTAACATTTTATTTTTTGCTATTAGAACATAGAATTAAGTATTATGGAACAAATAGGTACGGTAGTTTACTTTGTGGTTTATACTGTATTTATCTGAAGTAACTTATCTTTTTATAAAGTAAAATATGTATCTAGATAACAGCCCAATTTGTTTAGGAAATCTTAATTTTCCTCATACAGTTTCTAACTCCCGTATTTGTCAAATACTGCTTGCCTCACTGTGGTATATATAGATTGCCTTCTAACAAGGCACCATAATTGCAGACGGCGTATATCGGTTGATGCCATGTTGATGTATGTAACTAAATCATAATCCCTGAATTTAAAATCTTAGATCGAAAGACTTAATGCTAGACTTTAAAGACTTTATGATTGAAAAATACCAATTCAATAATACAAGTCTTGAATTAACTCAATAATTCACTAACTCTTGTTTGTGTCTGATACTAAATACATTAAAAAGTAGTATGCAAATTATTTGATTTGCATTTTATATTTATATGAAATTTTTATATACTCAACAAATTTTTACCCTTCGTTCATTTGGGGTCTGAGGCATATCCCTAATCATTTCATGGCTTTTGTTTGATCAATGTCAATGTAAGGGTTATTAATTACTTAGCAAGTACCTTCGGCTTCACCTGCGATGGTATAACCATAAATATCATATAGCATAAGAAATGCTTTATGATATATACTTTTTTTTAACGTAATTAAGTAAATTTGTTTGTGTAATCTTTTTGGATTTAGTTACTTCTTTAATTATGTTACGGTGATAATAATAATTATCCGTAATGGTTGTGCCAATGATGATGAGTAAGATATCATTATTGTGTACTGCCTCCCGTAAAATTAAAATACTCACGCGTCAGTGAACCTGCAGAGAAACCAATTTTCCATTTACCTTGCTGTAATTCTACTAAATTCTTCCCTAGTAATTGTAAGAAATATTTCCTATATGAATATTATTAAATTCAATGAGTACCTAGGTTTGCTGTTACAGGGGGGAGATAATTTGGTGTGTATGTTATTGATAGCTTGGTATGAAGTAAACCAATTTGCCCAATCTGTTTCTCTAAGGTGTAGTTATTTCATAGGCTGTATCGTATATTTCAAATTAGTAAACCCTGTGTTGAATTATAATACAGATGTAGAAGAAACTTATGATATAAAGAAGAAGTGCTCAAATGTAATCATAGGTTGATATGTTGCAAATCCAAACTCTAACGGACAATCGAGTCGGGCGGAGCACGAAATGAGTTTTGAGATAAAGATATGCCTATATTTTAATCGGGAAAGTGAGCTATCAGCATGCCAAATTTCAACCTAATCCGACCAGTGAGTGATTGAACCCCAATAAGAAAAACAAACACACAAACTTTCACAATGTATTATGTTGTTAGTATGGTAACACTTTCTTAATGTATTTTTGTCTATGTTTTGATAACTAGCTGTTGTACCCGTGCTTTTTAACGGCAATAGCACGGGAAATAAATACCTTTTGATCTATAAATGCATTTTATTAAATGTTAACACATCAGCCAATGTTTTGGCCTATTGATTCGTCGGAAAAGAACATACCATATTGCTGATGGATGTCAGGTGCTCAATAATTACTCTTTGTTGAACAGACATTGGTCTTATAAATATCACCATTGACTATATATACCTACCTGTAGGTATATATAGTCAATGATATCACGCATTTTAAGTTTTTAGTACCGGGGGACTGAGCCTTGCTAGGTTGTGGTTTAAAGTACGTATAATCGTTAAAACCATTTGATAAAAAAATATTTTAAATATGATTTTCGAGAAATGATTTCATTACAATCCAAGACATTTGATTGATAAAACAATAACGACTCTGTAGTACAAGCAATGTAGGCCTATAAGGTATGTAATAAGCAATCAGAATAATCATGTGTTGATGTGTTATTTTATTAATTTTTACATTTATTTATTTATGACAAAAATACTGTTACGATAAGTATGTTGTATGCGAATCTAACATGGACCTTATGGGTTGCGATGAAGGTGACGAAATAACAACACAATATAAACAGAAAATCAAAACAAATGAGAGAAACTCCCATCGCATATTTTATTAAAAGCGTAGGGTGAAAATAGATAAGTCAATAAATTCTTCTCATCATCAATAAGTTCTTTTAGTCGAGTTTCAACAACTCGACGATCTGTAGTGTACATTAGTCTGAGAATAATTTGATGTATGAAACATAATTTAAATCAAAACGTGTTAATATTACACACTTAACAGTTATTCGATTTTGAGAAGCTAACATAGCAACTTTAGTCCCATCAGGTACTTTTAAGATCTGTAAATATAAGGAGGTCCCGCTTATACTTAACATCGACTACATCATAGACAAGTTACGTCATTAGCTTACTAGCGTGTTTAATTTTGTTTAATTCCATCCACAGGTTATAAGTTCCCTTTTCAAATTAATGTTATTTCAAGCTTTACTATACTTCCACAGTCTACCACTGTAGGCCTACCGTTACTGTAGTTTTGTGGAGGTTCACTTTAGTTATCGAACACAAATGATTCTACATACTGTACAGTCTTCAGCACCTTCCAGTACTAATTCCTGTGTAACACTTATTTTTCTGTTTACTGTTTGGATCCTTCACAGTTCAAAGAGACTTATAACGAAATATCACATTCTTTACAATATCAACAAATTACTGGGCTGCGTATTCTTCATTAAATTTACCTTTACACGAACCCTCTTCTACAATACTTTCATTTTTTTATTTTATACCTACATGGCAGGACAATAAGAGCAAGTAAATTTGCATTTAGACAATTAGACTTCTAATAAATGTTTTTAAATTGTAGAAAATAATATACCTTAAACAAAGATAAATGAATATTAAACTAAAAGATAGTAACGGGTGACTGATCCTTGCTGAGTTTGGTTAATGACATTTAATTGTTAAGGAAATATACTACACAGACATGTTTTATTACAATACAAATATAATTCTATTAAATACCATAGAAATTTTATCGCAGAACTAATAACAACTTGAATAAGGTATGCAATTAAAAAAGGAATATTTTAGATCCTACTCCAGTTTTTTTAAACATTTATCATGCAAAATACGATTATTTTTATAGGTAAGGGGCATAATTTATCTCTCGGTACCACACTAGACTTTTCGTTGATTAGTTGAAGCCGAAAACTGATAAGTCCTATTGGAGCATAAATCTTTTACTGGAAAGATTATTATAATGAAATAATTAATTTCAATAATTATGTAACTAATTAGACCTGTCCATATTTTGTTTCAACTATAAAAAATAGTGTTTACAATTTGTACAATCTACCATTAAATACGGGTGAAACATTGAGTTGAGGCCTGTGCACTCAAACGACACCAACTGGAAACACATTTATTGAAAATAATTGTTGTGCATTTGATAACAATATATCACTATTATTTAAACAAATTAAATGCTAAATTGATTCGTTTACGATAGCATACTTTTAATAAGCGGATTTAAAACAATTGCTTTATTTACACAATATTCGTCAATTAATAATCTGAGCCCTATCTATAATTACAGTGCCTTGTGATTCAGAACGCAACCCATATACATCACAGTTACGCAAACAGTATTTGAATAGTAAAGGGAGTTAATGTACAAATGTTGGTCAGTCGAACGCACGGGAATCGAGTAGTCAATTTTTTAAACAGTTTAATTCAGAACAGCTATTTACACATATAAAGACCAAAAAACTATGTCGTATAAGGCAATTCTCATATCTTCAACGATTAAGTGATAGTTTGCAGAACAATAAGTATTTTCAAACATGACTTAAAATTGTTACAACAAAACCTTTTACTTAGGTACACAAATTGAATCTCCAACAAAACTTGATTAGACGCAAATGTTTGATATACAGTTGAACATTTTACATTTCCTGATAAAACACATTCTTTGTAAGGAAAAAATTACATTTCACTTGAATTAGGTTACAGCAGACATTCGCTAGTTGTGGGGAAAACTAAATATAATTTAACGTTACAATTTCAATTTAATTAAATTTGAAACTACCTGTTTGTTACAACAACCGGAAACAACTTCAAATATTTAGCGTTGGTTACTAGTACACTATTACAACTTAATAGTTCAGCTCAAATAAACCACGACAAATTCATTATCTTTTCATTTTTCAAATGATTTATTCCAGATTCTCTTACGGAGTAAACAAAAATTGTCATAAGCTATAAAAATAAGTTATTATTTGTTTAAGACGTTTGCCAGATAATTTAGTATTGTTATTGTCAAGGTTAATACTTAAACCATCTTTTAAGAATAAAAATAAACACGTTATTTTACTTTTGAAAATAAATAGTAAACAATACCAACACTAGCCCTGCATGCCTTCAAAATCCCATATATACATGTATGTATGAATGCGTGTGTATTTAAGTGTGTGTACTTGAAAATACGAATACAAAAATATTAATTAAAATATCAATTAACAAAACAAATAACCATTAACGTTGCTGGTGACGACGTGTGTTTAAACGCCTTCAATCTGAGAGACGCAACAGTTCTAGCGTTTTGGAACTTCCGATCTGATTACTAGAGTTTTGGAAATTCCGACCCGGCATATGATCACAAGTTCCAAAGTGAAACGGACAGTCTATTTCATAAGTTTACTTTAAGAAATAAATTTGTACTTCTAGTTATGACTGTACTTTTGGATCTTACGATTTTGGAACTTCCGATCGGCAATATTTTCTTTGGATCTTTTGATTTTGGATCTTCCGACCCGCTAAATAACCTTTGGAAATTCCAATTTTGGAAGATCCGATCGGCAATATAAACGTTGGATCTTTCGATTTTGGAACTTCCGATCGGCAATATATTCTTTGGATCTTCCGATTTTGGAACTTTTGAAATACTCCCATGTAGGATGCCTTTATTTTTTTTGTACTTTAACTTTATTAATTGATTTTTCAAACTGCATAATCAGAGAGACATAGTTTCAAAACATATCAGTTATTTTTCAAACAATTCACTGTCTTTGAGTGCGAGAACTTGATTTATTTATACAGTACTGCATCTTAATAATAAAACTAGAAATGAGGTTAAGGTTAGGGTATTTTCTTTCATTTGTAGTGGCAATAGTCCTAATAAAGAAGAAAAACACGCGGGTATTTCGTTTGGGTTTGGTTTGGTTTGATTTGACTTAACTGATTGTTAATATTATAAACAAACAACAAACAACCGTTCTGCTGTCAGTTTCACTCAGTTTTAGAGTTTTGTTGTTTTGTTGACTAACTAAATATTTTGGCTTTGATAACAACTAACTTATACAAGCTTTTTATTTGTAGTAGAGTTTTAAAATCTATTATTTAAACTATGGTAAGTAACAGAGCTCGCTGTGTAGTATTACGTTATAGTCAAAAGGCCAAATGTGTTGTAAAAACTTATGCCTAAGCTACTTCTCCACAGTGACTCTGATAACCAAGACTACTTTATCCCTTTGGTTTTGGTTTCTTGCTAAAAGCGAAATGGGTTTCTTCCATTTCCACGGTTGTAGCCAACACTTATAATTTAAGTCAGTCTTCCTTTTTACTTCCTCCCCCTATACCATAGTAGGGCCTAGGCTATATGGAGAAAGTATTGTTTTCGTCAAAATTTTCGAGTTTGAGTTTTGAGTGTATCCGTTTTGGGTCCCCCTAGACCCAAAAAAGTGGTTTTCGGAGTGATGTCTGTGTATCTGGACGTGTACAGAGCTAGGGAGTTATATATCGATGGACTAGGCCCTACACCTGTGCCTGTGGTCCGATTTAGATTAAATTTGGTATGCCTAGTAGGCCTATATAGGTTCTAATCCATGGTAGGCTATCTCCAGGCGTTTTTTTCATTTTTTTTAAATTTTGATTTTTAATGGGAATTTTCTCATAAAAACCGGAAAAATCGGATTTACTCAAAAATGACCTGAACGATTTTGATAAAAATTTAGTAGCCTATGTTGTAGCCCTTTAAATTCTGAAAAAATGGCACAAATCCCATTTCTGTAAAAATTACGGTTCAAAATTTATTGTAAATTAGGCCTATGTTACTTTCCCATAAAAACCCCATAAAATAACAAAAAATAGGAATTAAAAAAAATCCGGTTTTGATTTAACATAGGCCTAGTAGGCTATGTTATGGTCCTTACAATTTTTGATAGTTATTTTTTTAAATTAGATTTTTAATGGGAATTTTCCCATAAAACCCCATTAAATAACGGGAAAATAGGATTTTCCCAAAAATGGCCCGAACGATTTTGATAGAAATTAAGTATGTTATAGTCCTTTATATTCTGAACAAAATCGTACAAATCCCATTTCTGTAAAAATTATGGTTTAGTAGTTAATGTAAATTATTGAGCGGAGCGAGCGAAGCTCACTTTCCCTCACTTTGTAACTTCTTTGTAAGAGCATCAGAATGTAATGGCTTGACCAATTGATATGAAATTTGGCCAACAGCTAACTTAAATAATACTGAGCACAATGTTTTGGTAAAAAAATATTTGCAAATTTCCTTCTGGATTTTATTTTACGGGTCATGCAATTTCGCTTGTTATTTTAACCCTCCGAGTGTTATTTGTCGCTGCAGCGACTCACAAACACTGTTTACGGCGAAGGCTCTATGACTGACAAAATCGGATTGAACTGGATCGAGTTAGGTATCGTTTTATTTTACAGATTCAGAGCTTTCTCCGGAGGTCTGTCTCTAAGCGCTATTCATTTTAGTTCCGAAAATATTATAGCAGACAGCTGACGTGCGTATTTGTAAACAGCTTGGTTATCCTCGGACCGATGACTGATGTGTTTTATTACATTTATCATTGTTTTAGTGTTAAAAATGAAAAGTAGTGATATACGTGGTGCATTATAAGAAGATTTAAGTGATTTTCCTAGCTATGGTTAGGCTATGCATTCTTAGCTTTAAACGCTACGTACTGAAATCTGTTTTTTGCCCATAACTTATTTATTTGCAAATCTACTCCCTTATATTATTATATATTTGTAATCCTCATAAAATTTAGAACAAAGTGGCTATTTTCAAATATTTATAGGCCTATAATATATACAATTTCATTGAGCGCAAACTTATTTTTTTTTTAATTTTCCAAAATTTTTTTTACCTAAAAAATTTTTTTGAAACAAATGTTCCTTATGTTCTATGTATAATATTGAAGCCCATGATTTTCCAAACAAAATGGTATATAGAACAGTATAATTAACATTGTTTTGAAGCTTCTCAGATCCGTTTTAATAAAACCTTCCAAATGAGAAAAAAATAGGCAGACATTAAGGCCAAAACAAGGGACACTCGGAGGGTTAATGTAAGTTGAAAGAAAAATTATTTTGGGTTTATGACATATGGGTTTATCTCGTCTTATTTAAATAAGATAAACATATGTTAATTGTTTGTAACTGTTTTGTTTACATTTCAATGTTTACTTTCATCCTAGGTTAAAGTTGAAGTTAAATGTAACAGTTTATCAATGGAAGTAACAGTTTTGCTATATTTGTTTTGAGCATGCCTCAAAGGCCACGTCGTAATATTGGTCGTCGCACCAATAATGCAAATAAGTTATTGTAAGAGAGTGGCGTCGTGAACAAGAAGAACCAGATGAAGCAGTGGCGGAAGAAGCTGATAATGATAGGCAGTTAGCTAATCAATTCCAACATGAATTAGATGCACTAACATTTTACACTTGCACTAACTGTCATCGCCAACAACTAACAGCTTGTGGTTCAAATGCAACTAAATTCACGGCGTTAAATAATAAGGATGTGTCAAGTGTCCCGAACGAATTAACTGACCTGACGATTGTAGAACAAATATAAATTCTACCGCATATAGTAGAAAACGGCATTCCGATGTCAGAAATTCTGTTATGTATTATGGTGAAATTTGATAAATATAATGGACCCACTTTAAATGAAGGCGAAATACCTATTGTTATCCAAAGCGCAAGTTTCAAAAAAACCAACGTATCTTGTGTAAGGAAACAATTTCCACTCCAAGTAGCGTATGCATTGACAATACATAAAGCACAAGGTATAACTGTGGACCAAGCTGTTGTGGACATTGGATCTTCAGAATATGGCTTAGGTTTGTCCTACGTAGGCCTATCAAGAGTTAAGACATTTGGAGGCCTGCTTCTGGATCCACCAATTTCACTAGACAGATTGATGTCAATTAACAGACACGGATCTTGGGCAAAGAAGAAAGAAGCTCTTGACCGTTTAAACGAAATGTCAAATACACATGTCTAATAACCTTTTATCAATTCTTATTATTATTCTTAACTAAATAAATGAACTATCAGATAAATTTGTCATTCTTTAGAACTTAAATAATATCAGGCAAACAAACGGTGAATCTGTTGAAAGGGAACATATTGTAGGTTGTTAGCTGCTTTAGCCATTGACAATCTTTAAATAATGCTTCGCTCATTTATGTGTCTAAAGTGTAACGGCAGACCACCCTAGTCTATTGTATTGACCTTTGGGGTGCAGCCGGTAATTGGCTATAGCATTATATTTCATAAACTTAGGCTTTAAATAGGAGGTTAGCATTGATAACAGAATTGACTGCAGTTCTGTATAGAGCCTACGATATATTATCAGATTAATAAGTTATTTGACGATTTATATTGAAATTTGCATAGTTGGGAAAGTTTGTCAAAAATTCTAACTAGTTAGAAGTTATAAGTTAGTCCCGTAAAAAGTAACTGATAGAAGTTATAAGTTAGTTAGTTTAAAAAGTAACTGTTAGAAGTTATTAGTTAGTTGAAAAACTAACTGATAGAAAATAAAGTTAGTTTTAGTAGAAATTAGTTGTTCGTTGGGCAGTTGTTTTAAAGTATTTTTTAATGTCACATCTTGGTTACTAATATATACTATAATATGAGTAACGATTGCGCAAGATATGATTTAAAAAATGGCTCCTACGATTTCCTCCAATTTTAATGCTATTGAAAAGTGCTTGTATAATACATTTGCATTGTATGATGTCTTACTAACCAAAGGGATAATTACGACTGTTCAAAAACATTAAGTGTTTTACTGCAAAACAATATACACTGACATTGAACGAAAAATCTAAAGGAAAGGCCAAGGAGATTTGTATTTTTCGACGATGCACCGCACAAATTGATGCGTTATTACACCATCCCGTAATTATAGTTGCAACGTTCCACAATCCCAGTGACTTAATGCAATAACGGTCGTCAGATAACAGATGTTATGTATCATGAGTTTTATATTGATTGAAGCTTATTGTGGACATTTTATAGATTGATCGTCCAAATTAAAAAGTTTTGTAGACTAAATTGAGGATAAGTGGATGTCTAACAAAAACGTCCACTGACTTTACCCTAACGTAGTAACTGACTTTACTACTTAATTAATCGTAGTAAGACAAAAATATTTGTAGGCTTATAAGCTCTATTTTTTACCTCTTGAACAAATCAAACACCTCGAGCAAGATCGGTCCCTTGGTACTTGTGTTTTAATCAAACATTGTCACATTTTACATTACTACAACATAAACAAATGACATAAAACTTGTCAGATAATGAACATCAACTAATGACAATGTTTTGACACTTGAGATGATATATCAATCACCAAAAACATTTCCCCTTCCCACCCATCAGTGCTTGGGGTGTTGATAATGGCCGTCACTACCCTTCCACAGGCCCACTGCATTCCAAAGCAACTGGACTTTGACTTTCTCTTTCCCCACCCCCCGCGTTGTTTGTCTACAAGGGCACTGACCTCTCACGGCCGCACGCAACCCTCACTGATCACGTGAAATAAATAACCAGTATTTGAGATGCTTCCACATAATTGGGAAAGTTAGTTGAAAATTCTAACTAGTTAGAAGTTATTAGTTAGTTAATTTAAAAACAAACGAATAAAATAGAAGTTAGCCAAAAAAACTAATGAATAGTGCTATTCGATAGAATTTCTATTCGTTATTCCCAAGTATGGAAATTTGTTCGGTTCAATATATCAATTAGGCCCATATAATTTTTTTCTGTTTTAAACATTGATTTTAAATTGTTTTGTTTACGTTTTTCATTAATAGGCTATTAATGACTAGGCTAAACTTATGTTTTAAAAACAAAAATACAATATGTTAACTTAGGCAGGTACCGGTATATTAAAATTTAAAAAAAAACAATAACCTTAAGTAGGCCTAAAACGTAGATTAAGGATAAACTTATTAAGAAATATAAACTAAACTAACGTTAAATTTATTCTGATGCTTGTTTGATTTTAAGGATTTTAAATTGTTTTGTTTACGTTTTTCATTAATATTTATGACTAGGCTAAACTTATGTTTTAAACACAAAAATACAATATTTTAACTTAGGCAGGTACTGGTAATTAAAATAAAAATAAAACAATAACCATAAGTAGGCCTAAAACGTAAATTAAGGATAAACTTATTAAGAAATATAAACCAAACTAATGTTAAATTTATTCTGATGCTTGTTTGATTTTAAGGATTTTTGGCACCTCTAAATATTACCGTGTGCACCTGGTTTTCACCTTTTATTCTGGTCTTCTTCTTGTCTCCACATATTTCACATTTAGCTGGTTTTGGAATCAAACATTTTTCCGAAAATCAATGCAATTTCCAATAAACTTACAGTAACTTAGTGTTGATATGGTTAGCACAAATATCTAAAATTTACAAATTTCTTCCATTTTTACTACAAGCTATTAAATAAGTGAAAACAAGGGAAAAATAAACAAAAAGATTCACCAATATTATTGTTGTTGTTTTTAGCGAATTTCCCATATATAGGGAATAAGCTATTATTTATATCATATGGTACAAATAAAATCATTACCGTACGATATTATATATTATCGAACCAGATGAAAATTGACATTACTTTTTCCGATATTCAGTCTGTATATCGTAGGCTCTACTTATATTTCGATATATCGTTATTCATCCGATGTATCATAGGCTTTACAGAACTGCTCCTGGGGAATTTGTCTAAGTAGGCTGGACCTAACTTATTGTGTTTATTTTCAGAGTGAAATTAGTAAGGTTGACAAGTTATCGTTTATCACTGAGTGGTTTGACTCAGAAGCTTCCATTATCAGGAAGTTTTTGTTTTCCTTCTTCCCAAGCGATTGTACAGTTGAACTGGTAAGTTTTTATGATTAGGCCTATTTCCTTAACTTATTAAATATTCAACGTGAATTTAACTTATTTTAGACTTGATTAGATAAGCTTAGTTTTATGCTTAGGCTATAGATTATAGTTTATAGGTTTTTTATCAAATGTAAAATCCCAAACCAGCAAAACTACAGTACAGTATTTATTTGTTTCAGTTTGACATTAAAAACCACAAGCTTTTTCTTAAACGCACACAATGCAACGAACTTTCAAGAAAAGACATTTTTGTAGGAAACACAATCAAGATTTTTAGTAGGCAGATAAAAATAGTGGATTATGCAGATTCTATCACGAGGAAAAAACTGGAAAGATCCATGCAGAGGTGAGGGTATAATATTTTGGGTTTAATCGCTTCAAAGTTTCACATTTAGGGGTAAAGAAAATTTTAGAATTAACAAACTAAATATTTTGAGGTTTTTTTTTTGCTTGATTAACTTAAGTCATAAAGTGTCAATCTTATCTTAAATTAGTGGTACTGTAGAACCCCGGGTTAACCTAAACGGTTCCATGAATTAATACATTAGTACAATACATAACATAGGTAAACAGCAAGGCGTTGCGCCGAACCATAGCCACCTCTATATATTAAATGGAGTTGAGCGCATGGCAATTAAAGTGAAACTTTCCATCAGCTGATAAAGGAACCATATGCTGTATTCCATTGTTGCCAAGTTGAGGTTTATTTCAAAACAAAAACAAATGCATCTGAAGATTTGTAGAACGAATGCATACATTAGATTTTTAGATATTGTAAGTGTGTTCAGGTATATATTTGTTTGTTGAATGTTTGTAATCTGAAAGTATATACTCATGTTAAATAATTTTAAGAAAATTTTTTGCATTTACACCTGTTCTTATTTTTGAATTTAATTTATTTTTCTAAAGTTTTTGTACAGTTAATAGTTCACACTGACTCAAGATCAAGAAAAGATGGAAAAGGCAATTAAAATTATAAGAAACGCCGCGGACAAGCCTTTTTTTAAGGCTTATGCAGTTTTTGTATTATAAATTCATTGTATATGTGCTGTACCAAGTAATAAATAAATAAAATAAAATAGGCTAAATAAAATAAAATAAATAATTTCAAACTTTTTTATTTTAAATGTTTATAATATTATTCTGGACCTTTTCATAATATAAATGTATTATTAGCTTTCGTGTTGATGCAAGTTACTTTGTTCACATGTTTTTCAACAGAAAATCTTGAATTTTAGAATGAAAGGTCAAAGAAAAAGTATTTTTTTATACATCATTTGAAAGGTTATTATTTAGAGAAGTTTTTAATGATATTTGATATTCTCTACAGTCCAGTTCAGCACAGAAAATATAGAGTAAAAGTTATTGATTTTTTTTTTAAGTCACCGATTTAAATTTAATTTTCAGAGTAAGAACTTAAATATGTTTTATCCTAATGAATGTGTACTATTTCTGTTGGAAATGTAATGAGGAATCTTAATACGGCAATGGATTGTAGAAAAACAATTTGTAGAGCACTTAATAGTACTGTTATGTAAGCAAATACAAAAATTTTGAAAAAATCTTATTTTGTCTGTTACTACCTACCTGTGAGGGTGTAGTTAACACATGAAATCTTATAACACTAACTTTGTTCCTCCCTGTTTGAACAGTTATTTTAAATTCATTTTTCCCACACACTGTGGTAATACGTTTAAGCTATTTTAGCATATGACTGGTTATCTGACAGCTGAACAGCTCTCCCCTCTTTATTTTGGTTAACCAGGGTTCTACTGTACGTCATCAAAGTAGCAACCTGGCTAGAAGATCATCTGATTTCCGCATTCTAATGCAGGTTGCTGGATGATGAACTGGAATAAGGTCTTGAAATAGTGACAAGGCCAAATTATGTTTTTTCAAATACTACCGGGTACTAGTAATTTAGAAACATAAATTACTAATTAATTAATTAAGAGTTAATTAATTAATTATTAATTGTAAGGGCTTTTAAGATATTTGTACCCAATAATAGGCAACAAACACGTTCTGTGTTGTCTAAAATGTATGTAACCTTCACGAGAAGTGATATAGAACTAATATCACACTTTTCTTGATTAAAATGTCTAGGCCTACTTATATTTTTTTAGGATGATAATGCCTCCTGTATTATAAATTTCTTTGTTTATGTTTTTCTTGTTGACCAGTTTATACCATTAGGCAGCTAGAAGTTACAAATCTTTTGATTGTGATTCATAACACCATTCAGTAGTAACTTCTGTTTCTTCTTTTTACAGTTAATCATAATGTGAGTTATTTTATTATCACACATTTTGACATAAGGTGCTCTAAAAACCCATAACATACTGTACTTTCATCTACCTTGGTGCATAAAATCTACATAGGCTAGCAGTACCGGTACCGTACTTATCTAGCATTTTATTAGTCAACTCAAAATTAAATCAAATCATTACTCTTTTCTGTTAGTGAATTGTATTCCATTTAAAATTTGACGCTGGGACCTGGCAATTCTCTTAGTTTTGTTGGTGGTAATTTAATTGCCAATAATTTCCTAGTACAAAATATGATTGCTTGTTTCAGAACATTTGGTTTGATAAAACCAGATGGTATTTCATTCTTGGGAGAAATTCTGTGTACAATTTATACAAATGGATTCCAAATTAGTAATCTAAAAATGACAAAAATCAACAAAGAGTTGGCGACCAAATTTTACAGCGATGACCAAGGAAAACAACATTTTCCGTAAGTAAAACATCTTTGTCATATGGATTTGGTAGCCGATTGAAACGCTGGTTAGCTTAATAGTTGGAGAGCATAGTCTTAAGGTTGCTGATTTGAAACCATTTAAAAACTGTTGAAACTGAATAAGTTTCACTAAAACTATTTGACTAAAGAATAAGATCGTCTTAATCAGTAACAAAGCTTTCATATCATTAATACTACACTCTTGCTTAATTCATTTCCACTCTTAACACTGATCCATGGTATGTCCACATCGTAGTTTGGCATCACAGTAATTTTAGTTCAAATTTATTGTACATGATGGGACAGGGAAGTATACCTACTTTTAAGGTGCCACTGTGAGTAGTGGGTGTTTGCTAGAGGAATGGGGTTAGTCACAAATGACACTGTTTCTTTGGGATTTTCCTATAATAGCACTGTTAGTAGTAGACATGGCTAGGTAGAGTGAGCAATGTGCTTTTGCAGACGAGACATATTTTTTTCAAAATGAGTCTATTGTTGCTGTGCAGTGTGTGCTGCAATCTTCTTATCGGATGGCCTGCCGCAAAGCTGTTACATTTTGATGTGGGTTAAGCACCTCCCGTGTATTTGGTGGTGTATTGCAGAGGATATTTGGTGCTCAAAGAACCGTCCAAACTCCTAAAAACATTGACCTTGTCAGAAGATCAATTTTGCAGTCTCCTTAACGTTGTGCTTGTAAGCATGCATCCGCACTGGCTGTGCCTTATCGTACATGTACACTCCATGATGACCAACACCTCCATCTATACAAAATGGTAGTTGCTCATGAAATCACACATCGGAACTGGCAACAACAAATGCAAGCATGTGAAATCTTAATTGCAGGCCTGCCTCATAATGTTCGGGTTTTGTTTAGTGACGAGACACCCTTCCATATTGCTGGAGCGGTTAGAGGAACATGCTCTATTAGAGTGAAGTTAAGCTTAGGGCAGTTCACGAGAGAATCCGAGATGCCTTGAAGGATGTAATTCACCTTTAAGTTGGCCACATTCCACAACAAATGCTTCACAGAGTTATGATGAACTCCAGAACCAGATTTCAGCAGCGCATTGACAATGAGGGACAGCACTTGCAGGATATACCGTACTGTTTAAAACCAAGTAAAGTTATAATAAAATAAACTCCGAGGTGTAACCTTTGAATCCCAATATAAAGTTTGGTTCTAACATTTTTGGTTGTCTTTTAATGTATCTTCAAAATTAGGGATACTTCCCTGCCCCATCATGTATATAGTGTAGTGTTAATGTTTTTAGGCTAAAGGTTGCTAAATATTTAACTCATTCCCATGCGTTTGCAGGTGTGTAATGACGGGTTGTAAAAGCTAATCTAGAAAAAAACATCTTTATTTGAGACTAGGTTAGGGACTGTAGGAGCTTGGGTTTGTCATCTTTCCTGTTTTTCGTTGTAGCGTCATATTGGATTAGGGAATTGTACTACTGGATCCAAACAAATTTGGTAAATTCAGATTAATCCTGAGGTCTGTTTGGGTAAAAGTATTTATTTACATCCTCTTTAAGGTTGTGACAGACTTTGTATTTATATTTCTACCTTCCCTGGCCCTACATGTTCCTTTTAGTGAATTTCCCTATAGAGAAGTAGCTATTTAACATGTTTGATGTCCTGGCTGCACATGAATTGACACGTTCGCTACCGCAATGGTACAACATTTTTCATTCAATATGGACCAGCGACGCACATATGCAAATCAAAGCTTGACATTTAAATTTTTTTTTTGTGAATACATTTTTATTAAGTTTGACTTGACTATATTGTTACTTAAATGTCCCCAAATGTTAACTATTGTAAGGCTTCTTCTTTTACGGGTTTTTCTGTGTAGCCAGGGGAATTGAACCAACCTAGCTGTGATGCAATATCTGTATTTTTATTTCAGAAGAGGGCACAAGGAGCATTTCCTTGACAAGCATGTTCACTTTGCCTGGCCTCCATAGTCAATTTCACCAACATGAGTTTTGTCAGTAAAGGAATTCTATCTCACATATAGAAATTGAATTTTCTGTCCACTTGTCTCCATGACCATTCAGGCATTCAAGTGTGTTCTTTTTTAATTTCCCAACTACCGGTACTTAAAATTTGAATTTCTGCATGAAATATCAATTTTATATTTACTCTAACCTACCTTAAATTGTCAATTTATATTCCCAAAATTTACTTTTCACCCACCAAAATGTAGACTGGCATTGTACGTCAATGATAAATACCTACCTGGTAAGCCAAGTTTACTGGGTGCAGATCACTGGTGGAGCATATGACTGTGGGCCCTGTCGTGGCGATGGACCTGTTGGCCGAGGATGCAGTTGGCCGATGGGAGGCCATGGTCGGGCCTATGGATCCGACGGTGGCCAAGACAGAACGTCCGGGAAGTATCCGAGCGAGTCTGGGGACTGACGCCATCAGGAATGTCATCCACTCAGCTAAATCATCGCAGCATGTCGAAAAGGTTCAAACATTACCCGTGAACTGTTTTAATAATATTGAAATAGCTTCAAGCTTTGTTCCAAATAGTTTTGCTGTTTGCAAAAGTAGGCCCACCTCTTCGTTTGGCACTTTGATTTCAGTATTTGCAGTACCTATTCCAACATCCACAGAAGGTCAAGTATAAAATTTTAAAAATGTTCAATATTATACATCAAACGACTATCAAAATTTAATTTTGATTTCAAAACTCTTTTTGAAAAATTACACTCTTTAAGCTGTGGTAAACCCATTTTATCCTAATCCTTAAACTTCGATCGCACATTACATTAGAGCTGTATGATTATATTTCATCAAGAAATTTATACATAGTTTAAAGTTCCAGTGACCTTAAATTCTAGCAGTTAAATTTATTGTAAAGCTGAGTAATCGTCCAATGCCTGTATGTTTTAAACTTAAGTTTCCACGTCTTTCAACCAAGAAGGGACCAAAGGGTTTTCTCGGTTGGAAGTCATTCTAAGATGTTAGTTGATTTCAGTTAAGGCATGATTAAATATTTTCAATATTTCTATGCAGGAATCAGAACTTTTTTTCGGATCAAGAAATAACGCTAGTTTACCAATGAAGCCTATAGCAAGACTTGAGAACTCTACTTGTTGTATTATCAAGCCTCATGCAATTCAAGAAGGTGAGGGACAGGTTTTTTTAAAAATAATTTTATATTTTTACTTGTCAATTTAAAAATAATATATCTATCATATCACCATAACTATTGTGTTTGTTTAGTTGATTATTTCGTCCCTCTGTAGTACAGTTTCAAGGTTATGTTTCAAGGTATATGTTACACTTTTGTAGAATTGATTTTTAAACAATTGTTTGAGATTTGTTGTTCTTATGCATCAGAATGGTCAACATGTTTGAGAAATTATTTTTGGTGGTGTTCCAATGTAAAATAATTAAAAAATATGACTTATCTTTCAAAGCTTCAATAATTTTATGTTTATATTTCGTTGTTGCATCTTGGAAAATATTAGAACAGGCTCTTTATGAATTTCTATTGAAATATTTTGTCTCAAAAACGTAATTTTGACAAATTAAGTATTTAAAATTTCTAATTTCAAATAAAATTCTAATGTATAATTTTTTAGGTCTAGTTGGAAATATAGTATGCATGATAGAAAAAAATGGTTTCAACATCACTGGAATGAACATGTTTTACTTGGATGAAATCAACGCAGCCGAGTTTTTGGAAGTATACAAAGGAGTTGTGCCAGAATATATGGTAACAGTAAATTTACTAATTCATAGAATTTTCTTAGGCAGTAATATTTTGTTTTATTCTTTTACTAGCAGAGTACCCGTCCTTTGTACGGGGTTGGCATATAAGTATAAAATGCTTATTGCAGTTATACTCAAGCTTTGAGGACACAAATTGATAAAATTTGCTTCTTTAAAATTACAATATTCTATACACATCCACCATAGCCATAATGTTCTACCACTTCACCTAAACAATATAGAAAAATAAATTATAAATACCCCTGCCGCAGCAAACCTGCAGACTAAGCGAATTTCAGCTTGTCTGATTACATTTTTACAAAAATATTTCCATAAATAAGACATATTTATTCACAATTTAAATAACATTCAACAAATAAGCTCTACAAAACGGTTTAAAAGGAAATTGAAATTTTTTACCCCATAAAACACCCCATAAACCCCCGTTCCCATGGTCCGATTATGCTGGTTCGTGAACTCGTTCGAATAAACGTAGGTTTACATGTTTGTACCAAATTTCATCAAAATCGGATCATTTTTGCTCAAGTTATTGCGCTAACGGACATGTATATATATAAATTAAGATTAAATATTAATAAACTTAGTACCCAAGTAAAATTATTTATTAAAATATTTACTGACTATAGTTTTGGCTCTAAGGCCATTTTCAAAGCTGGCCTTAGAGGCTATCATCATGCCAAATTTCAGCCCAATCCATCCAGTAGTTAATGTGTGATTGAACTTCAAAAAAACAAACAAACACACAAACTTTCACATTTATAATATTAGTAAGATAAGATAAGATTAGATTTGATTTTAGTACAATGAAACCTCTTTTAACTACACCCATTGAAAACCTAGGTTAACTGAATCTAAAGACAAAATTCAAATCAATTGAAACATTAGATAGGCACCTGGAGTGTCCACCCTAGCGTGGGAAGTTTCAGCCTGGACAACAAAATGTAACCAGTGCTGTAGTATTAAGTTTTCTATTGCGGGAATGCTCACCATCATCTCCAAAAAATACAGTCCCACATAGATTGTGAAATCGTCTTCTAAAAATCTGTCTTCACTGATTAGTCCTAGTTTTATCATATTATAGTTTGAATAATTGATTACTTAGCCTTCCTATTTTTTTACCTGTGTCCTTTAGCTTCACAAACGCACAGCTCAAGTTTTATAGTCATAAAAATGTACTGCTGATGTCCTCCACTTCAGTTGATTATTTTTAGTCCAGTCAATAAAGGGATTGTAGAGGACATGGAGAGGGGGGAATTTTTTTTCTGCGGGAATGTGTTCGGGGTAGTTAGAAGATAAAAATACCAAAAGTACCCGCCCCTGGCCCTGCTGCTTCAGCGGGGGGGGGGGGGAAAGACCCCAATTTTAGGTTTTTACTTGTACACTGAAAACTGTGCATCGTACGGAAAAAATGTAAACTATAAAAAGAAAGATGATGAAATTCTCTACAAGAATGGTCATATTCATTTCTTCCGTATATGCATTGGTTTAAAAGATATTCTCAAAATAATATAAAAATTCTTAAATAAATGGATTTTTCACGCACAAACTTGAACAGATTGTAAATTAAATAAAGTTAAAAAAAATAAATAAATAAAAAAAATAATCCATTAGCCTGTTGTTGTTTCACATTAATCAGGATAGAAAACAGGTTTTTGAACACTTACATATATAATATAATATATCAATCGTATATATTGTGTTAACCCTTTTACTGCCAACCGGTTTTTTATATGTTACTTGAAAAATGCCGGGTCTAAGGTAAGACTAATATGCGAAGACTGCCAGGCCTGATTTGAGGAAAATTCAGTATTTCACAAAAACTTGTGTATTTTTTTTATTTTCTATCAGAATTTGATAAATAAGGCCTTGTTTTGTTTCTAATAAACAACCTGTCTTCATAAAAACATATAATAATTATTATAGTAAAAAAAATTTTTTGGACATAAATTTTATATGGTCAAAATTTTTTTTTTATTTTATTTTTTAGGTTTGGCGTATAAAAACTATACCTAAAACAAACACATGCATAAATGTAATTATTTTAGTTTGTAGAGCATGTATAGGTTATTACATAAACAAACTTTTATGCCCTTACCTTGAAAATTGTAGAAGTTGTGATGTTTTTTCGAAATGTCGTCAAATAAAAGTTTACCCGTTTAGGTGAAAACACTTTACTAAGAGTTTGTTCATGATCATATATACACAAGTGGCCTAAATGTTTTGTTACAATTCACAATAATGTACATTGCTAGAGAGCTGAAATAATGGTAACAAAAACTTATGTAGCCTACAAATAAATTTAAAAGAATAATTACAATATTTACAAATGAAAAAGTTCCGATCATTGACATTTATGTTCACCGAAACATGTACGATGAACCCCTTTCTTGCATCTCTTGCAAACAGTCCTGCTCCTCTTCCTGGTCCCTCCTGCACTTGTACTTAGTAGGCTACACACAGAACAATTTCTTAAAATTCTTCCAGGTAGAGATTCTAGGCCGAATCCAGAAGCTTCTCCAGCGTCTCCGCCACCGCCCACCTCAGCAACATGTGGCTGGTTCTTCAGCATTAGCCAATCAGTAGAGAGCTCTTCAATTATGGAGTTGGTATAGTTAAATCTTGACAGTAATTTACCAGAACAATTTTCCTTGTAAATGATATACGAGTTGAGAATCATCCTGCCAAATATATTAAACACGACCTTCTTACAGTACTTGACAGTTCTGCGCTCATCTAAATAACAGTAGAGCATTTGGTCTGAGCCATCAATCCCCCCCATATACATATTGTAAGTATCTATAATTTCAGGCCTCACTTTTGGGTTTTCTTCATGTCTTTTCCTTCTTCTTACTTCCACTGACTTTGCAGATGCTTTTGTAGAGAGTAAAAGCACTGGTTTCTTTTGAGAAGCTTTTTCTCGATATCCCAAAAAAAGCGTGTTCTCCTTCCGCAAATACGTCTTCTGGCCAACAGCAAATTTTTCTTTCAACTGTGGAGGTATTCCTTTTCTATTTTTCCTAATTGTGCCAGTCATGTAGGTTTGGTTTTCGTAAAGGTGGTTCGCCAGAGGGATGCTCGTAAAAAAATTGTCAAGGAAGAGATGGTAGCCTTTTCGCAAATACTGACCTATCTCTAAGAGCTTGGTGACAACTTTGAATGCAAGGCCAGTTGATTTTCTCTTGTTCTTATTTCCTTTGTAGCAAAAAAAAAGCCAAACAATACCTGGAGACAGAGTCACACAACATCCACATTTTGATGCCCCAACGATGGTGGTGCTTGTTGGGCAGGTATTGCATAATTTGCGAATGACTCTTAGTGCCAACCAGGCTTTCGTCAATTGATATCTCACGATGAGGGGTGTAATAAGTCCTAAAAATCCTGTTTTCATGATCCAATAGGGGATTAAATTTAGCACAGGGGTCATAATTTGGATCACCTGGTTTAGCCAAAGTGCTATTGTCGACTATGTGGAAAAATTTCAATATACACTCAAACCTGTTCCTACTAAACATTTTTCCAAACCAAGGTGTTTGAAGTGATGATTTTGTCGACCAATAGCTTTGAATAGTTGGCTTTCTTACAAGACCCATATTCAAAATTGTGGCAATGAAGGCCTTCATTTCCGGCAGGGTGACATTTTTCCAATCCCTGGCACGTGAATTTGGAGTCAAGTTATGTATATGTGCAGTGATGTAGTCCCTGGCATACTGGTTGGTCCTTAGCACAAAAGAATTCATGAGATTTACAGTAAAAAATAAATTAAAGTACGATATTGGAGGTGCATCATGTGGGGGACAATGTTTTGGCCCAGGCAATTCGTCAAAAGGAAAAGTGTGGTCAAAACCAGGATCGTTACCTTCATCAAGGGGATCCCATCCAAGATGTTCATCAGCGTCAGGGTCATTTAGATTAGCATAAAGTACATCTTCCATTTCCATTACATCACCTTCTGGAATTGTGAAGTTGTTTACAACATCGTCAATAACTTCGTCGACTGTACTGTGGACATTAGCAGTGGGAGTAGGCCTAGGCCTATGTCTAGGTTGGGGGATTTCATCTTCTGAGTCGTCAGAGGGGTCTGAATTTACCATGTAATCAGGGTCTTCGTCCGTATCGTCCTCAAATTCTGGACCTAATCCTTCACTTTCAGAATCTGAACTGGGTTCTGAGCTCGACTCAGAAATATTGTCTACAAAACTATCGCTCACATCACCATCGTCAACATTCACACCGTCACCCAATAGGTTGTTTATTATTGTATTTTCACTCACCGGCGACCTATTTCGTCTATTACTCATTTTTACTAAAACTCAAACTAACCAAACACATGCATAAATGTAATTATTTTAGTTTGTAGAGCATGCATAAGTTATTACAAACAAACTTTCATGCCCTTACCTTCATCACAACATTACTTTTCTAGCACTAGTAAACATAAACAATAACAAACACCTTTCCATTCGCAAAACTCAACTAAACACAGATGACAAACGATCTAGACACAGTAGAGAAGGAATCAGCAACGCACAGACCAAGAGCAAACTCAAACTATGTAACTTCATTGGTTATAGGCTCATACCGTATAAAATCGTCTGTAAACAGCTTCGTTATAGTCTGCAAATAATCCGAGTCGAATTTGGAGGGGTTTGGAAAGCATATAAGGCCAGTAAGTTAGAAAACATTGACGTGCTTTATAACGCACGTCGGCAATTTTCGCCCGATAGCCAACGAGCGTTATTGCGCACGTCGGCCATTTTAGCACAAACCCCACGTGCGCATTTGCGCTCGTCGGCAGCAAAAGGGTTAAAAATAGTTTATATAAATTTAAATAAGTTATGTATATTTGTCATGGAAAAAAGTAATTTTGGCATAATTATTACACTAAAAATTAAAAGGATTATGTTTGTAGCTATATTTGTCCAGGTTTATTTATATCAATTACCGAAACCAAGACTTAATACTATTGTTCATGGTCTCTCCATAATCCAATTCTTGTTCATTTGACTCAATATCTGCTATCAATGTGAGAGTGCAGTGTATATTCTTCATCATCCTCATGTATCAGAATTGGCATTCTATTTAAACGGTCCCCTTAGCAGTTCTGTCATAACGGCCAACGAGGAACATTTAATGGAAAGTAAATAAGAGAAACGTCTTATAACACTTAAAATTTTTAAGTGTTATAAGACGTTTCTCTTATTTACTTTCCATAAATTTAATAACACGTACAATGCTGATCAAGAAGTTATTTAGTGGAACATTTAATGGTCATTTCATTGCATGTACATCTTTCATTGCTACAATCTTTAGTATATTTTCAAAAAAACAAGCCCAACATTTCTCGTGGGTTAGGTGGTTCATTGGTTAAAACTGGGAATAGATTACCTTTTTTGCGCTCCAAATCCCACATTTCTGAGGGTAGCTGGTTTTCCAAACAGAGTTGTCCTTGATTAAATTATACAAATGATGAAATGTCATATATTTCTAAACTGACAGCAATGTTTGAAAATCACCCACTCTTCCCTGAAACTCAAGACATCATGTCAATAGCATCTGGGGTTGTAGGAGATGAATCCGTTAACTGTTACGATGCTGTATTACGTAGTCTGCAAGTAATTAATAAAATTGTAATAATTTACAGACAACAAGCTGTCACGGGAAAATATGGCTCTCCCTTTGTCCTCTGTGAGTTCAACCATCGATATCAATGATTAAAACGTTGGCCTCCGGTGGTCAACCCCCCCCCCCCCCGGAAAAAATGTGGAATTTAAAGCACAATAACGTATTTTTATATACATTTGAGCTCTAAAATATCTTCAAGCTAATAGTATTTATGTTAGCTAATAAAATATTTCGGAGAGAATATATACCTCCCCCCCCCCCAAGGGCCCTTAACCAAGTTTTTTGCAAATGTACCAAAGATTACAACAGTGCCAGATGTGCAATTTGTGCATACAAGAAAATGTCCAATAATTGTTCTCCGTTATGCCAGAACTGCTAAGGGAACTTTTTACATGAAATGCCTATTCTGATGAATGAGGAAGATGAAGAATATACAGGCCTACACCGAATTCTCACTTCGATAGCCAATATTGAGTCTAATCAACAAGAATTGAATAATGGAGATGTCCTAGATGGTGGTTTTCAGTTCCAGATGGCGCCAGTTTTTGGGACAGAAGTCGGACCCTCTTGTCCCAAGTGAGCCAGACCATGAATAATAAATATTAAATCTTGGTTTCGGTAATTGTTATAAATAAGCCTGGACAAATATAGCTACAAACATAATCTTTTTAATTTTTAGTGTAATAATTATGCCAAAATTACTTTTTTCCATGACAAATATACATAACTTATTTAAATTTATATAAACTATTTTTAACACAATATATACGATTGATATATTATATTATATAGGTAAGTGTTCAACAACCTGTTATCCTGATTAATGTGAAACAACAACAGGCTAATGGATTATTTAAACTTATTTGACAAAAAACACGTGAAAAATCCATTTATTTAAGAATTTTTTTATTATTTTGAGAATATCTTTTAAACCAATGCATATACGGAAGAAATGAATATGACCATTCATGTAGAGAACTTCATCATCTTTCTTTTTATAATTTACATTTTTTACGTATGATGCACGGTTTTCAGTGTAGAAGTAAAAACTAAAAAATGGGGTCATTCCCCCCTCCCCCCGCTGGAGCAGCAGGGCCAGGGGCGGGGACTTTTGGTATTTTTATCTTCTAACTACCTCGACCACATTCCCGCAGAAAAAAAATTTCCCCCTCTCCATGTCCTCTACACCCCCCTTTTGAGCATTCATTGACTGGACTATTTTCCCTTTAGGGAACTTAAGAGATGCTTTAGTTCCACAACGGACATATTGAACTACTTTTTTTTGCAGCATGGTAAAAAATATTTTGTAACATATTAATTTTATGTATTGTTTGTCTTAGTCAATGGTGAAGCAGTTGTGTTCCGGGCCTTGTATAGCCATGGAGATAACCAGTTCTAAACCAAACTGTGATGTTGCTGTGGACTTCCGCAAGTTTGTTGGTCCTTCGGATCCGGTGAGTGATTTTAGTAAACTCTCCTTTCAGTGGACTTAACAAATAATTTTCTGGCTCAAACATTTTAAAGGTTCATCGTTATGTAATAGTAATTTTATATTTAGTTTAGTTTTTACACTTGTGATATTTTATACAAATCTCAAGTCTTATCCTAAGACGCATCTTAGGTCGTTGTCCAATGTGATACATTCTGTCCGAGATATTCTGTAGGTGATATGTAACCATGGTTGTTTTACAAGGGATGGTGAACAGCCCATCACCTCAACCCCCAATATGAATTGGGGGCCTACTTCTGGTTAGCGGGTCCATTGGACCTAGCCGGGAGATCTGACAAGCAGATCCACTGACCTTCCCCCTATCCGCCACCCAGGGGACGCCCCGTATACGCTGAAGTAGGAAAGCGCACGGATAATTTATTACCAGATACATAAAATACTAACACTAGGTACAAAAGGTACTTAATACTAGATACATGCTATACTTAACACTAACAATTAACAACTCATAGGCTACTTCCTTAATCTTCTTCAGGACTTGTTTTAAATCGGCTCTCAGTTGTTACAGAACTCTTCAGTTTCTTCATCTTGAAGTTTCTCTTTAGAAATTCAATCCCTCATCCATGGTTGCATTCATCTCCTCTCCTACAAATCCCACATGAACATGATTCATCATCTTTCTCAAACATTTTCCCCTGGCAAATCCTTTGGCACTTTACTCTAAACAATCCTTTCAACTATGTGGATCCGTTTTGTTATACTGAAGCAATACAACATCAGGTCTCCTTGTAGTTCTATAACCTCGCATTTTCCCAGGAGTTGCTACTTGGTTGCTTACTTTATTGATTCTCTGCCAGTTCTTTTGTTGCAATAGTAATAAGAACGGAAGAATTCTGCCAAGTTTTCACTGATGTTTCATTGAAAGACCTCATCCAATTTGTACCCTCTGGAATGGAGCAAATGAATCTGTATTCTTCCTCAACATAACTTTTACTGGAGGAAAAATTTCAGCTTGCATTCATTTACTGTGTCTATGAACAAATTAAATAAATAGTTTCTATGGAAACATATATTTACAGTCAGTATGCCATTATCCAAGCATTACACATGCTTTTACCTTTTACAATGAATAGATCGAGACTTTCCATATTTATATAAAGTTGAAGCCAAATTTGCAATAAAAACAGACATATTCAAATTGAGCCCTAACACGTATGAAATGTTTAATTTTACCAAGAACCCTCCAAGTGTCCAAAGTATAGGCCTTAATGTTTGCCTATTTATTGCGCGTTTGCAAGGTTTTGTTCTGAGAAGCTTAAAAACACTGTTAATAATACTGTTTTATATACCAATTCTTTTGGAAAATCATGGGCTTCAATATTATACATCAAACATAGGCTAAAAACATTTGTTTCAAAAAATTTTGTTGGGTTAAATTTTTTTTTACTGGAAAAATTGAAAAAAAAATAGGTTCGTGCTCAATAAAATTTTATAAATTATAGGCCTTTAACTATTTGAAAATAGCCACTTTGTTCTAAATTTTATGAGGATTTCAAATATATAATCATATAGTGAGGTAAGTTATCAAATAAATGAGTTATGAGTGAAAAACATGTTTTCCGTATTAAAAAAAATACCGAAATCGCCCAATGACTCAACAGCTTTCATAAAAACATATATGAAACCAACCAGAGTATTTCATGTTGTATGAAATTTAATTTACAGTTAGTACAAAATCAGCCTACTAGTAAATGAGAAAAAATACAGCATGCTTTTACCTTGATTATGGGGCCAAAATCCTTTGCCGAACTTGAAGAATTTGTTTGCTGAACTTGAAGAAATTACAAAATATCCAAAATATTATTTACAAAAAGTCACAAAAGTCAGACAAAAAACTTGCAAAGTTGTTGCTGTCAATAGTTTTCAACACTTGTAAATAAAAACTAAACACTTATAAAAATAAATATTATATACAGAAGAATTACAACACATGGGCCTAATCAGAGTCTTCACCGCTACTCTGGTCTAGGGTCACTTTGGTCCTTTTTCTGCCCCTGTTATGCCTCCAAAAGTGCTGCATTTTGTGGAAGCGTTCTTTGAGAACACCCACATTACAACCGGGGCACCAAAATGCAGACCTGCCTCTAGTTTTGGTGTGACCACAAACGATACACTTTCTTTCCTGTCTTCGAGACAGTTTTTCAAGTCGGTGGTCACCGCAATCCCCGCGGGGTCCAGGAACTGGTCCAGGTAAGGCATCGCAGTTTTCTTGGCCTACGAAGGATTCTACAATAGATATATGAAAACCTCTTCTTGATACAGGTTTGTATGTGTTCTCTTTGTACAGAATGTAAGCATTTACGAGCGCAATATCAATAAAATTGAAGAACAGCTTCTTCCAGTACTTGGAAGTGGTGCGGTTGCAAGACATATAGTACACAGATTTATCGCTTACATCCACACCACCCATAAACTGGTTGTAATGGTGAATCAAAACCGGTTTCATGCCTCTCAGTCCCTTTTTACTTGTAATAATTTGATCTTCCGCATGGTATGCTGTAGAAATCAAATACACAATTTTCCTACTCAGTTTCTGATGGTAAACAACCAATAACAGATTTCCCTTTCTAAAGTATACTGTTTCCCCTTCTCCTAATTTATAGTTTTTAATTCTTTTTGATAAAAATTTAGATTTTTTGTTTATGGTTCCATGGTTTATGGTTTATGGTTTATGGTTTATGGTTTATGGTGATGAATGTTTGTCGTTCAAGAAGGTTTTCCACCAATGGAATTTTTGTATAAAAATTGTCTGTTAAGACATGATATCCTTTGTCAGACAATGAAGATTTTTCAATCAAGTTATTTACTACCCTCTCAGTAAATAATTCTTCATCATGATTAGCTTCGGCAAGGTAATCAGTTCCACTGTAAAGTTCTATGTGCATAACATAATTGGTTGCACTATCGCAAAGTTCAAATTTTTTAATTCCGTATTGTTTGTGTTCCTTATTCGGCATATATTGAATAAATATGCATCGGTTCTTTGTTCCTACTACACTTTCGTCAATGAAGAGTTCCTGATTTGGTACAAAGTGTTTTTTGAAACTTGAATTCAGATGATCTAACAACCTTACTTTTAACCAATGGTCATGTCCAAGCTGACCCCTCTCAACAGCGCGGGCCGATGTCAAATGCAAGAAGCTGCTTATGAGTAAAAACCTATTTACCCCCATGGTGTTTGAAAAAAATGGTATTAGTTCTGTTTTTCTAGTGTCTCAAATGATTTGATGTTTTTTTATAACAGTTTTTTTTTATAACAGTTTTTTTTATAACATATTGATTAGAATAGCAAAAAACTTTTTCATTTCCTGAATGGAAAGATTGGACCATCTTTTGAATCTAGAATGTGGACTCAAATTATCTCTCTTTTCATCTAATGTTCTTTGAGCATAGGCATTTGTTTCTCTAAAATGATATTCCAAAAGGCAGCAAAATAGGTACAAATAATTGATAGGGGAAGAATTTCTGGGGGGTAAATCTTTGGGTCCTATAGCCCTAACTTGAAACTGAGGTCTGACATCTTTCAGAGGTTCGGGGGGATATACCCTATCCAAGGTTCTATGTTTTGCTGTACCGGTATTAGCCTAGGCCTACCTGCATTAATGTCTTGTTGTTCATTTTCTGTTTCAAGATTTTCGTCAATATCTGACGTCTCTAAATCGTTAAAATTGGGCACATACTTCTCTCCACTCCCTGACGAAAAGTCTAGCAAATATAGCTCAGAACCTGAAGGATAATTCACATCAATGTCACTACCTACTTCTTCCGGATCATCAACCAGTCCTTCAACATCACTTATATCTTCTTCTAGTGAATTACATATATCTTTACTGTCCATTTTTACCACACAAAAAAACGATGATAAACGTACAAAAACACACAAGTCACCGATGTAAATAAACCAAGTTGTTTACAATACAAACGTCATCTGTCTGCTACAAATATGATCGGCACGAAAATGAAAAGCGTCTAGAAACAAACATCATTAATGTAGATAATGATCCAAGATATGCAAATTTGTAAATTATTAATTTAAGATAGATTTAGTTGGCGCCATTCAATGTACAAAACTGTACTTTATGAATAAAGCATATTTGATTTGATTTGACTTGACATCGGGAGAAAGCTTAGAATCTGCCAAAAAAAAACTATACCTAACTCGATCCAGTTCAATCCGATTCAGTCAGTCCCAAAGTCTTTGCCGTAAACTGTGTTTGTGAGTCGCAAAAGCAACACATAACACCACGGCCGATGTGTTATGAGTCGCTTTTACGACGCATAACACTCGGAGGGTTAAATATTTAGATTGCTTGAACATACAAATTAGGTAGTTATTTAAAATTGTTTACAAAGTATTGTAAATAGGCCTAATTTCAATTCAATACTTACTTTTGAATAACTTATTGATTTTGGTACAGTAATTTTTGAAAGATTCAATTTTGGTAAAAACAACTTTCTGTTACCAAAATGTGTTTTTGCACCAAACTATATTGTAACATCAATTTAATTCTAGTCAGCAAATGTTAACTTTTGTTCAAAATCTGTCCCAATGAAATATCTCACAATTCAGGAGACTTGTCACTCTTATAGCTGAAAATTTCTTGTGCTTGCAAGAATGACGTGTTTTTAACAAATACCAAGCAATTTGAGGAAACGTTATAATCGGTTAAATCCAATCCATACCATCGGTTGGTTATTGGAGTTAGGTTAAAACAAAGTTGCCATTAAATTATGTCACAGTAGAAATAATTTGTTATCAGGTCGAATAAACCAATATAGTCAATATGTTTTGTCCATTTTTAAAGTGCCTTCCCCTTTTATATTTTAAGTGTTGGGCCACTGAAGCTGGTGGGGTTTGTTAGCTGTACAGACCTAAACAAGCCACTGTACAGAATATGTTTTCCATCTCATAATATTTATATTACTGTTTTATTTTTCATAGGAAATCGCCAGACAGATCAGACCCAACACAATAAGAGCTCACTACGGAAAGTCTAAAATAGAAAACGCAGTTCATGTCACCGACTTGCCAGAAGATGCCCCCTTAGAGGTGATTAGAATAAGTTCAATAAAAAACATTTAATATACTTAGAAAACATAAAATAAGGAGATATTTATAATTAGGGATGGACGGGATTGAATTTTTAGTTCGGGACGGGATTTTTATTTCCTTCCCGATTTTTGGGACGGGACAGGACGGGATTTTTCTGTACATAAAAAGAAAGTCTTGAGTATTGCAGTCACCAAAAAAAGACATACAAAATCAATTTTTACCGATTGTGGTACTGATCTATAAAAACCAAAAAAATGGGTAACAATATACAGGTACCTATAGAAAATTGTGACTTGCGGTCACGGTGCGATCGTCAAAATGACCGCGGTCACGGGGTGATCGTCGGTATGACTCGCGGTCACGGGATGATCGTCGGTATGACTCGCGGTCACGGCATGATCGTCAGTATGACTCATGGTCACGGCGCGATCGTCGGCATGACTCCGTAGTCACGGCACGATTGTCGGTAGGACTCCACGGTCACGTCGTGATCGTCGGTATGACTCCGCGGTCACGGAGTGATCGCCGGTATGCCTCGTGGTCACCGCATGATCGTCGGCATGACTCCGCGGTCACGTGCGATCGTCGGTCCAATAATCGCGGTCACAGCGCGATCTTCGTTATGACTCGCGGTCACGTTGCGATCGTCGGTCCAATAATCGCGGTCACGGCGCGATCGTCGGTAGGACTCCACGGTCACGTCATGATCGTCGGTAGGACTCCATGGTCACGGCGCGATCGTCGATAGGACTCCGCGGTCACGGCGCGATCGTCGGTATGACTCACGGTCACGGCGCGATTGTTGGTTAGACTCCACGGTCACGGCGCGATCGTCGGTATGACTCCGCGGTCACGGGGTGATCGCCGGTATGACTCGCGGTCACGGCATGATCATCGGCATGACTCCGCGGTCACGGCGCGATCGTCGGTAGGACTCCGCGGTCACGGCGCGATTGTCAGCAGGACTCCGCGGTCACGGCGCGATCGTCGGTAGGACTCCGCGGTCACGGCGCGATCGTCAGTAAGACTCCGCGGTCATGGCGTGATCGTCGGTAGGACTCCGCGGTCACGGCGCGATCGTCGAAATGACATCGTCTCCTGCGTTCGCGGCCCTATCGCTCGCTATAGCGGCGTCATCGGCAAAATCGCCGACGATCGGACCAAATCCCGTCCCGAAAAATTCCCGATTAAAATGTAATCCTGTCCCGATAATCGGGAATATTTTTTTCCCGAAAAATTCCCGAAATTTCGGGACCCGTCCATCCCTATTTATAATTTTAGGTTGTAAATTTTCCAGGGAGAATATCATAAGTACCCATTTTATTTACTCTGTCTCTAATACATAAGTATTTTAATAGCGAAGTTGAAAATAATATCCTATTTTAATTTGGTACTAAGTTGGTTTGAAAAGTAACTTTCATTCAATGATATGAATAAAAGTAATAAAATAAAAGTAGTAAATAAAAATATTTAAAAAATGTTTCTTATACATCTCAAAACTGCACTTCACTTTTTTTAATAACATACTTCCCATAAATATCAAGCACTAAATGGATCTCTTTATTATCTTTGAAATTCCATCTTCATGCAAATAATCTGCTGTCTGTATTTCAGCCAGTCAATGTTATAAGCTCTTCAACATCAGGGAACCAACAACATCCCAGAAACTTCTTTTTAAGTAACTAGGAGCCAAATCTAAGATGTTGAAATAGATCTCAATTGATCTGCCCCAGAAAGTCTTCGGTTATCTGAGTAGAGTAAGGGTATAGAATTATCTGCAACTTTTGCAACGGGTGATATTTGATTTTATCAGCGGTTAAGAAGTTATAAGCAAAACAATAAATATAATAATAATAAAAACAACGTTTTTCAATATTGTGGTGTAAATATAAAGTTTACAACAAAAGTGTAAATACAAAAAAGATAGTTTGTAAAAATATCTTTTAAACAAAAAAAGGATCATCCTGATCCGTTAAATGGTTTGCGACATATACGCATTCAAAAATTGCAAAGCCGCCATCTTGATGACGTCATAGCTCGAAAACGTACCAGGTGCGAACTTGACACCCGAGTGGAAAACACTTCCTAAGACACCTATATTGAAATGCAAAAGCAAAATTCTCTATACACGATATGCACACAGAACCCTAGTCAGGTCCAGGACTAAAATACTTAACAGGAGCTACTAAGAACGTTGTGTTTAATTTTGTTTCTAAGAAAATCATTTTTTTCCAGGTGGAGTATTTCTTCAAAATTTTGCCACCTTAGTTCTTTGGCAAGAACGAATGTGAAGACTTGTCCTTGCATTTAATTTTAACCTGCATGACTATGAATAACTTATTTTTATACCTATATAAACCTTTATAAATTATTTATTTTATTTTATACACAGCATGTTTTGAGCTGTATATCCTGCTAAAAGCATTACTAAAAGCATTACTGTATATCCTACATTTCACTTTAAAAATTTCTTTTAATAAAATTTAGATTATTTATGATAAATGAAGAATACCTGTGGATTGTATGATCTAAAAAGGTTAAAGAACACCTGTCCATAGAAGATAATCAACTAGAAAAATAAAGTCAATAGAATACCCATTACGCAGCAAACCTGCAGACTAAGCAAATTTCAATATGCATGATTGGATAATTGGAATTTCATAATTAATTTAAATATCTCCTTAAAATGTCATCCTTGTTCCCTATTTAAATAACATTAGTTTAATGAGTACTTTTGTTTGTTGCTACAGGGAAGTCAATCAAAGTGTCTCTTTAGTGAAATGGTTATAGTTTAGTATTAAACAATAGTATATTACGTTACTAGTCCTGAAAATAAGTGTTTACCGGACGAGTGTGGTCGTTCCCGTGCGAGACGAAGTCGAGTACGGGATTACCATACGAGTCCGGTACACACATTTTGGACGAGTTACGTACAATAGTTTACGCCATACTACTAAATCCGTACAAATCCTTATATATTTCCACCAACTAAAGGACTAAAAATCACTAGTCATAACCTCTAAGAGATGTTATGTTTTTGTTTATAACCACTCACTGCCACCTAAATACAGTATAATCAGCTGATTGGTGTCCGGCAAAACTCATTGCAGTACAGTAGTACGCAATGAAACCCCATTTGAATAAGCTGGTGGCAAACAGCTGTTTTCTGGACTAAATCCTTGCGTGGGAAGTTCGTCAAAAGAATGTAGTGTGGCGTAAATACATTTTCCAAATAATGTGATGGAAATGTGTTCATAAACAAGCACACTAGCACAGTTTACTTATTCTCCATAAGAATAACTATAGGAATTTTAAGTTTGAGCCTTTTGGACTGTTCGCCTTAATTATTAACATAGGTGAGCACAATAGTATATTACGTTACTAGTCCTGAAAATAAGTGTTTACCGGACGAGTGTGGTCGTTCCCGTGCGAGACGAAGTCGAGTATTAGGTGAACAAGGCGGTGCCTGGGGCCTCACACTCATCAGAGGCCCCGCACAGTGGTATTTTAGGTACTAAGAGCCCGCTATTGAACATCGCCTTGGGCCCGGCAATCTCTAGGGCCGCCACTTAAAAAAGGTGTCACAGAAATCACATTACATCAGCACACTCTGTCTATGGCTCAAATAAAAAAGGTTCAAATATTTTTTACAAAACAGGCTATAATTTTTACATGGGAATGGAATGTCTAGCTCCATCCATAGTCAAAGTATTATACAACAATACTGCTCTGACCTGCACAATTTTAAACATTTAGACCTTGTCACAGCACAATGTTTAGTTCAATGTCAACAGGTAGTCCCATTGTGAACTGGACACCAAACTCACACGGTTTGTATGCCCTTGCTTTGTCAATTGGAATATATTGTTCCAAATGTTTCATTTACTTATTAATAAAGATAGTGATTTGTTCCTTGTTGTGTAATGTAAGTAAAAGGAAGACCAAAATGTTTACGTAGTTCGTTTTTTAATAACCTCTTTTACCTCAGTGTATCAATATTCTTTTTTTCTAGTGGCTATAATTATTGAAGGTTTTTGGTTCACTTTCATTCATTGGGGGGCGAGAAACAACCTTTGTAATATTTTAGATATCTTAGGCCCCTTTCAGATGTGGCCACTGCAGTTGCCCGCCAGGACACAGTGGCCGAGCAGTTAACAGACACAGACATAACAGGCATAAACTGTTATGGAGTAAACTTTCAGTTTGCTAGTGCGGATACAAACACACTTCTGTTAGTTGTGGAGTGGTTTCCTGTTAAACTGTTTATTTGTTTGTTAAGAAAAAATCAGCAAGCACAAAAAAATAAGGAGAAGTTGCGGCAAAGAGAAAGAAGAACAGAATTAGGGATTAAACAAGACAAAATTAATACTGAGAATCTATTGCGAGATTACTCACAGTCACAAGTAGTCTCATGTGAAAGGGCCCTTAATGTGTTTAAAACTAATCTCTTTAATTTAAGTATAATCATAATTTGATATATAATACTACCATATAGTAATTTGTAATAAATAATACACAGAGGGAATAAAGCATTAATGAAATAAAATCTTAAATCTATATCTATAAAAGAGGAACTGAACTATCTATGTATGTATGTACCTTATGGACTCCGAAACCGCTCGACATATTGTAATGAAACTTTAAGGTATTATTCAAGGATGGTTTGTGTGAAGTTTGGTGCAGATCCGTCAAAAGGGCTCCACCCCAGAGGGTTTTAAAGTGCTCAATGTCAGATGTTTGGAACTAAAATGTCTACAAATAAATACAATTTAAAAGCAGATGTTTACTTTCATCATTGACTATTGGATCAAAGCTTTCACCAACTGTTTTGTAGGTTTGAATAATCATAGCATCCTGTATTAATCATGATTTTAAATAGTGCCACACTGTTTCCACAGAATGCATCACAGAAAACTATTTTACTTTTGGATAAGTCTAAATGTATTAAGACCCAATCGCAGCACACCCGTGCACTCAACAACGTTTAAATTCTCAACTGTTATATATATAAACATAAAAGTGTAACTTACGCCTAAAAACTTATACAGGGTTAGTAAAAAGTGTGGAGACCCCCTGTAGCAAACGTCTGTTGATAAGCAATTTTAACGGCCCATACTAGAAAAACTAAACTCGGCACATCTTTATGACATCTTATGAAGTACTTTTTGGGCATAACCGTCACTTGGTGTACATCCCCAAAATGGGGATTTTGGGGGAAACTTTTCAAATACAAAGACCCATCGAGTGACCCATCATTTTGAAGGTCCTGGTAAAAGAACACCAACAACGCAAACTAAAGGTATTTATCTCAATCCAATAAAAAATGGCAGCCAATTGAAATTTTCAGAAGTTAAATTTGAATTACAGTTTTCCAAGTCTGGAGACAAAGAATTTTGCAGTGGCTCACACTAGGAAAACTAAACTCTACACACCTTTTTGGCATGTTATGAAGTACTTTTTAAGCATAATATCCACTTGCTTACCAAACCCAAAATGGGGGATTTGGGGGGAAACTCAAAAGTTTTAAATGATAAGCCCCATCAAGTGACCCCTCATTTTGAAGGTCCTGGTAAAAGAAATCTAACAACGCAAACTAGAGGTTTCTATCTCAATCCAGTAAAAAATGGAAGCTGATTGAAATCTTTTGAAATTGGTAATAGCTTGCAATTTTATATGCAATCGGCTGCCATATTTTACTGTGTTAAGATAGAGACCTATAGCTTGCGTTGTTAGTTTTCTTTTATCATGACCTTCAAAATGAGGGGTCACTCGGGGGGCTCATCATTTAAAATTTTTTAGTTTACCCCAAAATCCCCCATTTTGGGCTTGGGAACTTATGAGAATTTTAATTGGCTGCCATGTTTTACTGAATTGAGATAGAGACCTCTAATTTGCGTTGTTGGTTTTCTTTTACCAGGACCTTTAAAATGAGGGGTCACTCGATGGGTCTTTGTATTTGAAATTTTTGAGTTTCCCCCAAAATCCCCCATTTTGGGGATGAACACCAAGTGGTGGTTATGCCCAAAAAGTACTTCATAACATGCCATAATGGTGTGCCGAGTTTAGTTTTTCTAGTATGGGCCGTTAAAAAAATAACAGGGGGTCTTCACACTTTTTACTAACCCTGTATATATGACTTAGGTATAAAACACCTAATGAAAAAAAAACATTGTTTATCCACTGACAATTAAGAAAAATAAATATTCTATTTTTGATTTTGGTAGCCTATACATTTTTAGCGAATTTCCCTATAGGGATTAAGCTATTACCGTAGGTCTCATGGTTAGACTTAGTCCCGGGACCGATTTACTTTTTCATTTTGATGTCCCTAGAAGCCAAAAATACCATCCGTTCAAATTCATATATATATATTTATATATAAGTGTCCGTTACCACGATAACTCGAGCAAAAATGATCCGATTTCGATGAAATTTGGTACAAACGTGTAAACCTACGTTTATTCGAACGAGTTCGCAAACCAGCATGGTCGGACCATGGGAACGGGGTTTTATGGGGTAAAAATTGGTTTTTCTCATTTTTGACCCTCAAAACATAAAATGTCCCAAATTTCCTCTAGACCATTTTGAAGAGCTTAAAAAAAAGAAAATCATTCAGTATATTGTAGTGTTTTCGTATGGTTATTGGTTATGGAGAAAATTGTAAAATAAAATTTTTTTTAACCATCAAAATTAATAACAGTGTACCTATACTGTATTACTTAACAATTTAAAAAGTAAATTCATTATTAGTGTTAGAAAATTTAGATTATACTTAACAAAAAATTATTATTATTTATTTTTTACAAAACACTCTTTGGTCACGCCGATTATGTTGGTCACGTCGCTCTACCCACAACCACTGCCTTCAGGATATTCGGTAATGTGTCTGTAGGCTCTGATCACACTGGCAGAGGAGCTAGCAGTCGACATAACAGCTGACCAGCTGTAGATCAGTTGACTTGTGGCTGGCGTAGCGGTACTATTCAACAGGCAGTGAGTACTCAGGTCCTTAGTTCATTCTAGCTGTTTGTAGATTTGATTTCTCCTGGAGAATTTGTCCGTCTTTACTCAATTAGTGGGATTTATGTTTAGTTTTAAGTTTGAGCAGTATTTATTGGTGCGGTGGTTTTGATTAAACTTAAAAAATAATTTCTCGGATTGAAGCAATTGATTGATTGAACACTTTCTTGGATTGAACACTTCAAATCTTTTTGGATACGCCTTTTTCGAAAACATACATGAACTGGGTTTTCGTGTCATCACTTACCATAAAATTGTGATACTATTTTAATGTTCTACTCTATGTATGTACTGTATCACACTTCGTTACTCTCTATTGTTAAGTTAATGCAATTAACAAAATAGACATACAATTTGTGTTACTTAAATTCAGTTGAATTTTTGATACAAAAAATTACCACATTAGATAAGAATATAAATAGTTAGCAACAACAAAAATTTGCGCATAGCTTATTACAGTGAAAATGGTTTTATGTCATCCACAAAAACCAATTAATTTGCTTAGAACATATGTTTTTTTTCGCAAGTGTTCTCGATCCAACATATACAACTCTTAGAGTTACGGTATTTATACACTTGTCGAAAACACATGAAAAAGAACCTAAATACAAAACTAGGAACTAAATAAATACTCGTTCATTTAACGTGTTTAATAAATATCCATACCATTTTTCTATGCTGCTCAAAAAATGTGAAAGCTGTCTGCACAGTATTGCCCTTTATCAAATTTTATCCAGTTTAGTGAAGCCTCATCAAATAAGACTGTCATGCATTTCAAGGCTGTTAAAGAACTGCCGAGTCGGTAGAAACTGCAGTGATATATGAAATGGCGTAGTTTAGATTTAAATTAAAGCTACTTATTCTATTTACTACAGTACAAGTACAACTCTAATAAATCCGTACAGTGATAAACATACTTTATTTTTTATTTATATATTTATGATTTATATATTTATTTTACGCCAATCCGCCATTTTACATCAGAGTACAGTAAATACAATGCAATAAGAAGTTTGGCAGCAATAAGCATGCATATTTAACAAATACCCGGTAGAAAGAATTAATGCAATACAACAGATCAATATTATGAGTGTTAGGAACCATTATTTACAATATATTCCTTTTTAAACTGATTTACAAAGTGATTGAATTTAAACACGAAAACAAAACTTAAAAGTTAATATGGGTTTGAACCGCTTCGTTTGCACTCACGTTGACTTAGTAATAAATGCCACTGGCTTATAGAAAATAAATAAACTCATTAACTTGATTTACTTTCTTTTGTGAAATATGTATTCTGAAGAGATTTTGCAATTTTCTTGTTCTATTCCCCCAAGTTGTTCGATTTAGTGATTTAGGAAATGAGAACCCAGCAACTTTTCCAAATTTTGATTGCAGATATTTTGACGTTATTAACTCAAATTAAAGGTTTATAAACAGCTGATCAGGGTAAACATTATCACTATACAACCTACGCAATTTAGTCAGTGTTTCGTGATCATTGACTCGAATATTGTGTATGTTTTTTTTTTGTTTTTTTTGGAAACAACTATAGAACATTAATGTAGGAATTCGGACGAAATAGATGTAGGGGGTTTTTATAGTAAAGTTACAAAAAGTAAAAAGTATAAATCTAACAGTACTGTTATAACGGAAACGCAACCCCAGTTGGCAACAATTATGTAATTATTGTATACATACAGTACAGTGTGTTAGAAAAGTCCCGAAACGGGACTTATTTTTTAACATATGTTTAACCATTATATATCAAACAGTATAAATTGGTATATCGATTATACTTACTAATAAAAATCCACTTTTTTCAAAAACTATTTTTTTTTTATAAAGGGGGCAGTCCATGAGGAGGAGTAAGTGAAAAATCAATTTAAGCATAGGTTTTTATGGATATACAATGCCGCAAACCCGACCTCAAAAGGTCGACTCTTTTAAAAAATGATGGAGTTTTAAAGTTTCTCTGAAGTTATACCAATTAGTGGTACCGTTAGAATCGGAAATAAACAGTAGGCCTACAACAACATTATCAATAGGATTTTCGAGATAGTGTATTATTCTTTAAAACTCATTAGCCGTTACATCCCTGATATTCTTTAAAATTTGTTGTTTACATTTCTACTGACCTTTCAACTCTAGTGTGATTCACTGTTATCTTATCAACTGAGGGTGAACAGCGTTCGAAAAGGGACGCTTTTAACGCCGCATGGTGAATAGTCAACTTTTTGATGCCGGGTTTGCGACATCATTTTCTAATGTGGTGTGCATATCAATCCATGCTTACATTTACAATTTCCACTTGCTCCTCGTATGTCGCCCACTTTATGAGATAATAACCACAGTTCCTTTAAAGAAGTGGATTTTATGAACAATTAATAATAACTACAAATTTACTAGGGTTGCTTTCAGAGAGGTGAAAGCCAGTTGAGCGGAACAAACGTGATTTGATATTTGTATAAGTAACTAAATGTAAAAAAGTCAATAGATATACTAATGCTTGTTTTATTGATACAAATTATAATAATTCAAATTTGTTTTAACTACATCTTGTTATTCAGATACCTCGCCAGAAGTGAATATGGTAGTTTTGACCAGAAAAATATTACAGTAGTTGGAATCTGATATTAACATCCATAAAGGGCATTCAAGTATAAAAAAGAAAGGAAATTTAACATTCAAATTCAACTGTAGCCTAGAACAAAAACATTGGACTTCATTTTTCACCCTTACAATCAGTTAAAGTATTTAAGTAAAGTAAACGAGTATTAAAGTATAATATCAGGAGGGGAAATTTGACATTTAAATTCAACTGTGCCACATAACATTGGTCTTCATTTCAACCATTGCAATCAGTTAAACTCGGCTTTCTTTGCTGGAAATAGTTTATGATTGTTAATACCAAGAATTCTTGATGGAGGATATGATTGTAATGTAACTGGAATGTAGGTCTTCTACCATTATTGGGACAATTTAAGGTCCAAATCCAAATGCTCTTTTCTTTTGGTCTGTATGTAGTAATGTAGTAATTTGCTAGTATCATTGACTTTATATAAAGTCAATGCTAGAATACTGTAGATGGTTTGTTAAGACCATAATGCAAGCATTTTTGAAATCGTTTCCCTGTTTAACCAACTATTCCAAAAAATAAAAAAATAATATGGTGCAACAGAAATAAATAAACCGATCACCTACCTATAACCTACACTTTACCTTCCTAATCTAACGTTACTTCAAAACACTTAATGTAGTCACGAATACTCATAAACCCCGACCTACCTCCCCACATGCCTAAATTAGATCAGGGTTCAATCTGCGTTTTATTAATAAGTGTAATAACTTACTGTATCGTCGATGTAATTCAACATAATATAACCTGTAAGGTATTATCGGATTAAATATCGATTTCGATGCGGTTCAATATATCGCTTATTAAATCCTTATTTCTAACATTGACTGTTTATAATCAGCTGGCAACACAAATAGGTGCCCAAGAGTAAGTCGAGTAGTCACTGCGATTGCGATATGCTCCGCGCATTGAGAAAGTAGTTCCGTCTATTTTCGCAATTTGTAGTGAAGTCCGCGCCTTAAAAAATGTTTTAACGGTATTTTCTTGTTTATTAAGATCATAGGAATGATTTTAAAACGTTTAAAAGAAAAGTCTAGAAAGTTCAGAAATACCTTATGATTCTCTTGTTTACATTTTTCTTGTAAACAAAAAACTGTCATATGGCTACTTTAGTCCCATAAGCCTAATGTTAAAAATTGGAAATTTTAAGTTCGTTTTAAATTGCATTAGCATTATCTAATTGAAATTTGTTTGTTTAAAAACCATCTCACTATTAGTCTAAGTAATTTTGTTAAGTTTGGCTGAAATGCGTTCAGCCGTTATTGAGTGATGTTTCTCTATTTGTTGCATTGAAGTTGATCCCAAAGAGCTTCGCTCGCTCCGCTCAATAAAAACATTCCGGAACTTTTCGAACATACTGTATATTCGTAAAATAGTGTTAATGATGATGAAATCTAGTAAATTTATTTTTCAAACGTCGTGAACCATGTTCGGGCATATAAGAAAAACTATTGTCAATAATGTAAACACAATATATTAAACATCATCTTATTAAATTGTAATATCTATGTTACTTTAGTTGTTATTAAATAACAAATACATACAAAATTTGTTTGTAGTTTATCCTTTGGGCGAGTCTCATACTCAAGCTCTAAGTTTTGGAAGTTTGGGAAATGAGTCAATATCAATAAGTCAATATTGCCTGTGTTCATTTTTTGTGTTATTTTTGTGTGATTTTTGTGTAATACCACCATTCCTTAAGAGTTTAAGCTAAATAGCTCACAAAACAAACATATCATCATTCACTATACACGGTTTATTATTCATGATTATTCATATAGATTAGCTCATTCATACTTCGTTATTTCTACTCGAAAACTGACAACTACTTTGAAATGGGAATGGAACACACTTCTACATAACTCTTGGATTTGTCAATCATAGTTCAACCATAGATAAAACAGTCTATGGTTCAACTGAAGACTACTTCGAGACGTGTTTCTGTACAGAATAAGTTAATAGCGTTGTCATGTTTCCTACATTTATTTATTGCTGTTACGCCTAATTTAAAACCATACTAAACCAATAAATTGTTCTATCTGTAAACATTGCTTGTACTCTGGCAAAATAACTAAAAAGTTATAAACACGTTAATAGAAAAAAATAACAGAGAACAGAATTTATCTTTTATATTTATCATTTCGCATTGTTTGGCTTATGCACCATTTATAGTCTTGAATTATATCTGTACTCAAACTTAACATGTCTGCATGGTTGAAATAGTGTTCGTCCAATCGACACGGATGCACGGGCCATAACACGAGCGTGTAATAGTGTACTAGCTCTGTTGTTTCGCCGTATCAAAATATCACATGTTCCTAAAAAATCATTCACA